GTTTACAGAGAAAAAGTAAGAGAGTAGGTATAGTGTGTGTGTGTGTGTGTGTGTGTGAGAGAGAGAGAGAGAGAGAGAGAGAGAGAGAGAGAAATAGGGAGAGAGAGAGATTTGGTTTCCGTGAGTGCCATTTGTGAGTCAGTGAGGGAGAGAGAGCGTGGAGGGTATTTCATAATATGTACACATTATTACAAAAATGTAATATAAACTTGGCTAAAAACAATCATTATATAATTTATTTGTGAACTGCGAAACATCCCGATTGCTATCTCCCCTCAAATAAATAAAATTCTTCTGAGATTTTACATAACTTCTTATATCTTCCATAACTTATTACTATGGTATTAGTTTGTTTGCTTACCTGAAGTTCTTTCTCGCAGAATGGAAGTGGTTTGTTCTTGCATGCTTCGGAATCAAGTGGGAAGCCGCAATTTCCAGAATCCACGTCGAAGGATCCACCTTCTTCAGGGCATAAGAACGGCAGGGTGAGGACCTGCTCGCGTTTCTGGTCCTTCGCGCAGAAATAATACTTCTAAACAAACATAAAAAAAACATTTAATGGAAATAATTTCAAACGAAGCTTGTATCAAATTTACCCTGCAGTCGAAAGGATCTGGGAAAACGCCTAAATCCGTACATTCGAACGGTTTCAAATTGCAGAACCCTCCTTCGGTCAATTTCACGCAGCCTTTCTTAAACTGACAGACTTCGTCGAGATTGCAGGTGATGTTAAGCACAGGATTCACCTCCACCGCACGATCGTAGCCGACGTATTCAATGCACACCTGAAGAGTGTTGCAGTCCGCGCATTGCAGACCGGGTTTCAAGCATTCCAACTTGACTGCATCATCAGTTGACATCTGCGACTGAAAATATAACACAATTTAAGTAATTATTTTCTAGATTTGGAATTAAGATTCGATAATTACGTAAACTGAAACTCCCAATCCAGGCAAAACGCACTTCTTCTGGCTCGGTGAAAAGACCGTCTCGTTGCAGCAGGAGTGGACGGATTTTAACAGAGTTCCATGGACTTCACTGCAGACTGTAAATTCCTTTTTGGAAGGACCTGGATACATTCCGACATGTTCGCATCTAAAATAGAGAACAATATTACTTTCAGTTTAAAAGACCTACTTCAAATCTTTAAATGTACTTACTCATCGAGGGACAACACTCCTGCGACCTAAAATCAAATATAAACGTCAATTTCTAGTTGAATAGAACAGCCATTGACCATTTTTCATAGTTAAAACTAAAAAAATGGTTTAACTGAAAAGCTTTCCTTGATATACCCCCATGATGTGAGGACAGACTTTATATAATACTTAAAACTTCTTTTAACAAAGTAGTCAAATAAACTTAGGAAGAAAACAATTTGCTACAATCATACTTGTCAGCTTATTAATACAAGTGAAATATTATTTTAAAAAAATACTTACACTTAACAAAGCGATGAATATTATCTTAGACATCTTGCAATTGAACTGTTGAGGGTGCAGCTTCTTCCTTTTATTTAAAGCCACTGAATTATAATTGAAATTTTACAACATGATTGCTAAGAATTAAAGGATTAAAGCTATCATCCAGTAATAACGGTATGATATAAACGTTCTCCAATCTATAATTCGTTGAAGCAATAACCAGTTTTCCTTCAATTTTCCTTCCACAATTGTCTACAGGTCTGAAACGGGGGTGAAATTCATTCTAAAATTAAAGTTTATCACCTGCCATTGCACAACTGTTAAATATTTAATATGACTCATTTTTTCATGTCTGAAAATCCAGCAAATAGTTAACACTTGGATTATTTTCAATGATGTCACTGGTGTTTTCTGTCTATAATGGCCCAAATCTTGATGACCAGGATGAATTTATACAGCCTGTTCAATTAAGTTCTGTGATCTTCCCACCAAATGATACTGTTGCTTCTTTAGTCAATGAATCTTTCTAGACAATTCAGGAAACGGTAAAGAGTATAGATGGAACCAAATATAAAAATTCTTTAACTAAAGTTCAAAGAAAAAATTTTTAGGTTTAAAGATTTTCATGGTTTAAAGACAATAAAAAAAAAGATTTGCCAGTTTAAGTCAAAAGTTAAAAGTTCATCGTCTAAGTTCGTTAAATTACTTGCATACCATCTTCACACTTGCCAAAATTTGAACAAACCGAAGTAATCAAATAACCGCCAAAGCGTCTGAGGCAAAATAGGGTGTAGTGGACTTTTCTGCTGGTGTCATTAATCGCCTAAAAGCTGAATTACATCTTACCATTATTATTGGCTTCTTCCATCCAACCAAACGGTTATTGTATACTTTATATAATAGATAATAGATATATAGATCATAGCATTATAGATACAAATCTATAAATGATTCATTTTGAGTTGCTGGGGCACATCTGTGAAATTCCCTTTCGCAGCATATTAGATCAACCCACTATCTTAGGGCTTTCAGGCATAAAGCTTTCCACTTTTTTGCAAACAGTCCATGATTTGATCAAACCAACATGATCTTTTACTTATTTCCTGTATACCTACTTCTCTTCTTCATTCATATTCAACTATCATACAAATTTTCTTTATTATTATTTCTTGCAATACATTTTGTAATCTTTATGGTATTTAATTCTTTTATATAGTAAATATATTTACAAAAAAAATTAACAATAGGATATATATAATATATTTTTTTAAATGGCTGTAAAGGGGCCAAATCCTATTGTTAATTTTTTTTTATAAATATATTTCTGACAATAGTGTGACACCTAAAATTAACTAGTTTTGACATATGGAAGGACAGCTCTACAAAATTACATGGAAAAAGGCAACAGGTAGTTGAACAAAATGGTAAATATATTGATTTTTAACAAATAGCAAAACATTTAATTTTGTTTATCATCAAAAAAGCTGAGGACTTATTTTATATATATATACTGTTTTTTTATTACTTTATTTTTTCTCATTGGTAAAGCTCTGTTGTGTACGTACTTTTTTTAGTTTTCTTATTTATTTACGTGCTTTGTTTTTGTAGTCTTGGTGAAATGATTATTGTGGACAACTGTGACGTCACGACAGCTACCTTCTTCGTTTGACCTCTAGTGATCCATTATCAGTTGGTTTATAACCTGGCCTTCACAGAGTCAACGTACCGATTGTTGCTTAAAAAAAGCTATAGTTGGGTAATTGTTAATTGAAAGCAAATAAAACATTGACCCTTTTTCCAATGACTCTGCGCGTCATCAGAGTTGAAAAAGGGTCAATATATGGCGTACAACACTCCTGGGTACATCGACGTAACCCGCAGTAAACCCGTCAAACAGGAAGAATGGCCAATCATGCCTAATTCGACTGAAGAAGAGTACCGAGACACTTCCGAAGACAGATTTCAACAGCACCCTCCAAGAATGGGTTCGCCCCGGTTCCCCTATGCCATCGTCTGGACGCCGATACCCGTGATGACGTGAGATTTATAATTAATTAATCAAAAATATACGTTGTTGACTATCCTTCCTTGATTCCTCCTATCCTTAGACAACCTCTGTGACTGGGACAATTATTTTTCAGTTCTTATTAGTCAAATTAAAAATCAACATGAAGAATGCCATTCACGTGAACAAACATCTACGCATCTCTCCCCTTACAAAGAAGTACAAATTTCTCATGCATTGTTCGACCTTCATAAAGACAATTTTGACAGTCTTTGTCTCAATGAGTTGTTATGGCTGTTTAAACTGAGAAGTGAGGCACTTAAACTCGTCTGTTTGGATTAGAGGGGAATTGGGCATCTATTCTTTGTGCAATTCATGTTCCATTGAAGCTGAATAACATTTCTTGACCGAGTGTTCATCTATGGGTGTAATTGCATCTCGGATGTTTCACTCTCCTCTGAGTTGACCTGTTATGGTTTTTGAGCTGCTCAAATTCACAGCCCTTAATTCGTTATGCCAGGCATGCATGGAATTACAATTATGAGTTAATTAAGGCTAAGGCCACACTGGAGGTGTCAAGCTCAGTGACCAGTGACAAGGTGAGCCAACCAAGAAAACGAAGAGTACATACAAGAACGGCCACACTAGCTTGTGGTTACATAGTGACTCACCTAGTAAACGAGCGGGTCTTTTTTACTAGGTAGGTAGTGATTTCTGATCGTTTCATGCTGGACGAGATTATTATTTCCGTAGTTTTTAAAAGACTGCTCTATGGAATCCAATGAGGATCTCCACAAAAATCGCAACTACGTAATTTAGAGAGAGACAGTTCGGGCACTAACCCAAAGCACAAAGCACTACTAATCCTTTTTTTAAAAAAGATAGTTCCTACTCACAGTTACTTTTTTACTGTGAGTAGGAACTATCTTTTTTAAAAAAGGATTGAACACCGCACTCACTTCATCATTCACCATTTCTAAGCACTACTAATGTCATCCTGGTGTGGCCACTTGTAACATGCCACCAAGTAACCAGGTGACTCACTTTGTTACTAAGCACCTAGCTTGTCACCTCTGTTGTGGCCTTAGTCTTAGGAGTTAATTTTTGATTTTAATTGTATTACCTGTTTTACTTTTCTTTCTTTCTCATTTTTACAGTTGTTATTTCTCTTTTCTTTCCATTTATTTCCTAAGCTATCATTATCTTACTTTATTCTGTATTCTTTTTCCTTTCTGATTGTTTAACCAATGACCTCTGGCAGTCGGATCCATGCTCATAAATGCTTTGAAAGCACTTTTGTCACAAGTTCAATAAAGCATTATTATTATGTTGTTAACTGAGCGAATCAAAAGGTCTGGCTTTCTATTTTTTATGTGAACAAGTTTATCAGGGGACGATTTTCTTGTTCAAAGGAAGTGCATGAACAATAAATTATTTGTTATGAGGACTTTCAGGAAAAGGAAAAGAATCGAGTCGTTTGTGTGAACAGCTGGGTTACCCATCTCTCTGTTTCGATTGAGCCTCATCTGCTTCTGAGTGGAAGTTTAGAATAGCATTGACCACTGTATGGTGAGATGTTGTGGTATGTGATCTGAAAACTGACCAGGTTGTTTGGACGATACTTCTTACCATTTGTTCCATTCTTTTAATCTTTGAAATATAGGTGGTCAATAGACAATATAGACGAGAATACAGCGGAATCCTACTAGTCTGAACTAATCGGGACTGACACCTGTTGATATAAACATCCACCGGGCGGTGTGATGTCTTGGTATGTGATCTGAGAACTGACCAAGTTGTTTATAAGGCCAGGCATCTGATAAACCAAAACAATGAGGGTTGGCAGATCAAAACATTGGGAAATTTCCAAACTTCTGGTCTTGCATTCCTCCAGAAATCTCACGATTTAAGGGAGAAGTTGCTACAAAATCAGGAGTAGAGTTTATAGTGGTAAAGACCATGTTAACTGACAATTATTACAATTTAAATTTATGGAAAAGTTTTCAGGGTCCCCTCCTGACAATAGGAGGACTCTCGGCTTTTTCTGGACCAGGCTTATAGAAAAATCTGCGTTTTGAAACCTTGGATCAACTTGTATAGGGTTTTTTTTAATTCAGATTCTCTTTTGATTTCATTTATAAGTGTGGGTGAGCTTATTTAACTCCTTTTATGTTTCTTTTTTAACAAATTTGTTTATTACATGACAAAGCGTCACAGAAAGATTCACTTTAATTTTTTTCTGCTTTCCGTTTTTTCCCCCCTCCAGTTTTCATTTTTAGCCTTGGTTGCTTTGAAGAAGCTTTTGCCCTTTTAACTAAGCTTTCTGTTCAGTCTTTAATTTTATTTTATTTTTGAAGAAAATTAAGGAATTATTACAACTGTTAAAAACAAAAAAAGTTTTGTGTACTAAAAAATTTGACCGAACCATTTTTGGATTAGGTGCAATATCAAATTATCAGGACCCCACTGTAATATTACAGCAAACAATATTGTTCTTCCAGTGATTGAACTGAAAAGATAATCATTGCTAACAGAATTCGACTATTTATTACAGTAAAATAACACGAATTTTTCCTTTTTTGTTCTACTAGTGTTTTTATGAGGTTTGATTGAGAGCATTAAGCTAAATAAAATGCCCAAATCAAGCCCTGGCAACTTGATTGACCAGGCTAATTGATCTTTTTTTAATAACATCGATGGCATCACAATGGATAGGAATAAAAGAGGCGGCCACAAGGCCTACTGCACCTTGACCTGAATAGAACTATTGTGCTCCCCTGTTATTTATAACTCACTGGCCAGCAACAGGTTTTTAATCAGCCTCCTTAGCTTTGCCAACGGCTCCTTAGTGAAGGATCTTGCTTTGGTTTTTCTAGTCCTAGTTGCCTACATAGACCTTCACAGAAACATAGAATGTGTCCTGCGGTCTCCTCCTCTAATCTCGCAGTATCTGCATATTCTCATCTCTGGTGCATGTGCTTTCTTAAGTGCAAGGTCCTGTCATAATGGGTTACTTTAAACTATTTTTTAACTACTGGTTTTTGCAGTTTAGGCGTTGACATGGCACAGGTAAAGGTCTGGGGGTCAAATACAGCAGCCTTGACATATTTACAAATGGACTTTTTTCAAAAACACCGGCACTTTGAGGGTTCATGTAACCTCATTGTTGACGTACCCTCATTTAAAAGACAAATTTTTAAAAACCTTACGAGATGACAAGTACGAAAAACCGATGCATTAAAAATCTCCATCATTGTCTCTTAGCATACACAATATATTAGAAGTTATACCTGTCTGTCATAAATGTCAAATACAAATGGCTTAACAGTACTTTCTCTGATTTTTTCCCCTTTAAATCCAAGGACCTCATCAAGAACTGAACCACCGCATTCCACTCACAACGTATATGTTTAAAATATTTAGTTAGTAATTGTTTTCATGAAGTTTTATCATGTTTGTCAAATTTTTATCTTTAGCAAATGTTATCAAATTAATATTTGCTTTAAATTTCATGTTGACAAGTTGAAACATTGCAATTCTAATATGAATAATCTGAATCTGGACAGGGTAAACATAAGGTTAAAATGATTGTTGTATGCGTCCCCTTCCCTTCCGGCTAAGGGCGGTCGCTGTCAGGGCGTATTTTGTCCATGTAAAATTACTGTGAAAAAATATGGATCTCGGTGGATGAAAAAACATATTCAATTATCTGCCAAGCTTTCGTTCTATTTAATTTATTTACTTATTTATTTATTTTACAGGCAAAGAAAAAATTATGCAATAGATTGCACGTATACGTAGGAGAGCTAATATAGAGATTCACTATAAAACATGAATAGATACTGAAACAACTGAACTAGAATTACAATACAATAACAACAAATAATGATGAAATTATTATTAAATAAAATATACCTGTGAATATAAGCAGTTAACATAATCAACACAATACAAACAAAAGTTAACTGAATAAAGATAATTAATATTACTTTAATCCATATTTGCTTAGTGGATATAATTGGGATTCGAACCTGCCTTAGATAAAAAGGAGAAGAATAAAAAGAACAATTAGTATGGCCAACTAAGCAAATGTTGATTAATTTAATAATTAAAAAGAAGCAATTACTTCACTAAAAGCTCCCTGTGGCCACTTAATAAATCACTGAGAATCGAATCCTGTTTACACGATGTTTGAAAGTTCGGGATGGATGAAAAGAGGTTAAATTCGAAAGGTTGTAGGTTGAGTTGGGGAGTGGGTGTTTGATGGGATCGCATATTAGGCCAAATGTAGTGGGTTCAAATCCCGCTCATGACACTAATTTTTCATCTCAACCAAAAACCCTAGATAAAAAGAATAATTAATTGGAATAATTAAAATTAATATCTAAGCTAACTAGAATAACATACTAATGTAGTAATATACAAAACAATGCTATGTGTTTACTGAATAATAGTGAGACATAAATAAAATAGATATGAAAAAAGTACATAAATTAATGCTTCAGTCATGTTGAAGTCACTATAACTAAAGTGGTTAGAGCACTGGCGTATTTAGCTGAAGGTTGTGGGTTCAAATCCCGCTTTGACACTAACTTTTTCATCTCAGCCAAGATTTTGGATTAAAAGTACAATTTTTAAAGGAAGATGTTTAAAAAACATGTTTGTACTTAATATTTATTTTTGTTCCTCATTGTATTATATATTTTGCACTGCAACTAGCCAACCATAAAACTCATTTTCTTTTTATTGATGCCCCCAAAATCGATATCAATAAAAAGAAAATGAGTTTCATGGTTGTCTAGTCCTGAAAAGAAACTCAAGAAATATAAAGGAAGATGTGGTCGAGGTAAAGTAGTAAAATATGTTGGATTTGTTTATTATATCATTCAGTGGTCATCATCAGGGAAAAACAATCGTAAAGATGTTTACAAAATTGGCAAAGTTTTGTCATTTTGCCAATTACAACACGCCTGAATTAACAAAAATCATCGAGTGTAGGCAGTCCAAGTAACTATCAAATAATAGGTTTATCACCTCGCAGACCACAGGAGGAAATGGATCTTGAAGATTGTTTTGCCCGGAAAAGATGACCTTAAAATAGGTCGAAAGCTTGGCAGATAAGATCCAGATTATTCATGCGTAAAAAAATGTTTGCATATTTCACACTTCAAAGTTTAATAAGGTAAAGTGAACTAAAAAGAGAAAAAATGAAATCATTTGCATATTTGATCATTTTCAATATGTATAAGGGTTTTAAAAAGACTCTGATGATAAATAGTCTTCCTACTACCTAAAAAATGCATTTTTTTTCTGTTAGGTGGATTTTTCCATTTCTTGGCCACATGGGGATATGCACATCGGACGGAGTTATACGAGACTTTGCTGGCTCGTATTACGTGTCGGAGGATCGCATGGCATTTGGGAATCCTACACGTTACCTCCAGCTCCAGCCCGACTGCCCTCCCGACGTCTGGGACACCGCTATTAGTGATGCCGCTTGTTCCTACAAAACAAAGACTGTAAATTGTTTTTAGACACCCCCCCTCTGTACACAATGACTAACACTTTTTGTAATGTTCAGCACAATCTTTGCTGGGATAACTGCCACTCGATGGTCGCCTTGGCCCTCAACAACATGAAGTACAAGGGCACCAGGTGGAACGCTTGGAAACTTGGGTTTTGGATGTTTTTCTGTAGTAAATTTGTTGGGTAAGTTGTTTTGTGTAGTTTTTTTTTCTCCATAAAATAATATTACCATATCTGATTGAATTTTGTTTAACTAGTGTTTCAGGGTTTTTAAAAACATTTGCACCTTTCATCGTTGCCATGCTGGTTTTAATATTTATCACAATATTTTCAGGGTAATGTGTGTATTTTCGTATTATAATTTACTATGTAATACCACTTGTAAAACCGTAATTCCTTCTTTAAATTTAATATTTATTTTATATAAATATAAATTACAAAATGTATCTGTAATTATTGTAATTATTTAAGTTTCAGTTGTAATAATAAATTATATAAGTATAAATAGTTTAAATGCCTGAAAGAAAAACTTTTGAAAAGCTTCATGGAAAAATTCTATTATTGTTTTAATTGATTTACTTTTGCTGCAGATTATCATAAGTAATCGTTGTCGTACTTGATTTTAATGATTTTTCATGCCAGATTTCTTGCCAGCGTAAATACACAGACCAGGAGAATCAGGAATGATAACACATGATGAAAATTCATCACTTCTACATTCACTAACTTTAAGAGCCCTTTTACTATGCCTGCGATGCGATATGAGTAAAAGCTGGAATCACCAAGAATGAGCCATCATTGACTTTGCATGGATTAGCATGCGATCGGTTTACAGCCATGCGGTATGATTCCACGTTACGAGGACGCTGGAACCGCAAATCATTTTGTATTTTATGCGATATGGACAAGCTTTTCTTATCTTTTCTCTATAGAATAGACGTTAAAACACTAATTATTAATGTTTGTGATGACCTGCTTACCAAAATGTTCAAATTTTCTCAATGCTTTTGTTTACGCCATTTCTTAAAATTTATCGTTCAATTGCCCTTCATACGCTACCTGTTGTCAAACGCCTTTATTTTTAATTTCATTAATTCTTTTGTTTCCTTCCATATTCAACCCCAGCCTAGTCAGCCACCGGACGATCTGTTTCTCTGCATCGGATATTAAATACAAAGTCTTTACCATTAATATTTATTTAGAAATCGTGAGATGGCAGTCTGGTGAGATGTAGGTTTCAGAAAAACATTTTTTTTATCATGCCAACGTTTCGATCTTTATTGAGATCATCTTCAGGGCTCAAAGTGTTTGTCTTCTGTGTAATTGTGCCATTCTTGCATGTCGTGTCGAGAATGCTTTCATCACACCAGACCGCATCTCACGATTTCTAAATAAATATCGATTAACGGTTAGTAATCACCACAGATTTTTACTATTAATATTAAGTTCAAATTCTTTACCAGTTTTTATTAGTACGGTAGAAGTTATTATTTTCATTATTATTGATTTTTATTTCGGCAAGTGTCCTGGAGACAAGTAAGTCTTCGTCGGGCGAGTCAACTACATCTACCTAGTTCCAGAGAGGTTAGATAAAGTTCATGATTTGGATTTCAAAATAAAGTCCCTTGGGCTTAGGCTGAACCTTGCTGGTCGCCTCAGGAACTGGATAGACGTGAAGACTTACTCAGTGCGAGACATTCACTTGATACATTCGCCGATTGCTCCTTTTTTTGACAGAAGGGTTTCTGAACCTACGAGTGTAGTTGACTTCCCATATTTCCCTTCGAATTTCGTACAGGCATTCAATCGCATCGCAGGCAGTGTAAACACATTATTCAACAACACACAAATTTTATCAAAAAAATAGAAAGCAATCTACTTTTGGACATATTTCTTTGTAAAGTTGTCCTTGATTCGTAAATAGAATAATTTCCGCTGAACAATACAGAAAACAAAACAAAAAACCCACACATATTATGTATACAACTGAAATATATACACAGGGGTTTCTAATGGCCAATACCGTCTAAATCAATAATCTGTGACAAAAACTTTTTTAGAACAAGAGATTAGTTTATATTAGAGAAATTAATAATTAAAAGAGAACAATTGAGATTTTATTAAAATAAAAAGTAAAATTAATTAAACAGTTTAATTTGTCTGCAATAAATCAATTATTTTTACAATAATAATCACATCAAATACTTGCACGTATTTAAAATAATATCTGGGTCTTGCACATAATAAATAAAATAAAAAATACATAAAAAGAATAATCTTAAACTAGATGGTAACAATAGCCACAATGCCAAAATGCTTATAAAAAATTAATTTTTTTTTTTACTTAAATGAAATAAAAGGTTTGAATTGTATAATAAATATATATATTATATATTTGTGTCAATTATTATGTATTTATTTACAACGTCTAATTCACACACACAAAAAAAGGATTTTTATCAAATATGGACAAAATAAAAATCTCATAAACTTAATTAAATTTTGCCCTTGTAATTAAATCAAAATTTGAATTTAAGAACGTGTGAACGAAATAATATAAACTGTATTTCGACTGTTTTTCCCTTCTTATTTACAATTGATAATTAGTTTAATAATGCATGTTCTAAATGTTGTAGGGATTACGTAGAGAGCCTGATACAACTGGTTCAGAGAATTGAAAATAGTCCCGTTCGATAAATTATTGCAAATTGTGTTAATCTTCTACTAGACTGATTAAGAAAAATAAAACAAAAGCAATCTCCGATTTCAACCACTTCGGACAAATTTTTAAGAAAATAAATAATAAATTTGCATTATCGATAATTTCTCTGTATAATAATACTTAGGAATAATTTTTTTTTTTCTGTGAAACAATAAAAACAATTATGCAAACACTCGTAAATTGACGTCATTTTACAGTTACTCTAAAATAATGAATTTTATTTATTTAATGATAAATGACAGCATAAAAAAATGCAATAAATTATAATACATCCACCCCTGTGCATTTTTTATGCAGATTGTTTAAAGAATAAAGATAGGCATAAATAAGAATAAAGATAGTTTTTATCTTTTACATCAATATTATCAATTTAAATGTAAAAAATATCACTGTTAAACATACAATAGTTCTTGACATACATGTTATTTTACAGGTTTTCAAGGCTGAATAAAATGAATAAGTTATAAAGCTTCTTTTCAAAATTCAAAAATATATAGTGTGTGCATTACATTTGTTTTATTTAAACTAATTGGATTTAATTTCACCAAGTGACAAGTATTAAACTGTGAATATAAACAGCTTTCGAAGGGAAAAAAAAATTGGCCCCCAAGACACGTTACGAGCTAGAATAAAATTAAGAATTAACCTCTTGCAGGAATGACTTTTCTATTTTGAAATTGTAATCGAAGTGATTTGAGTTAATCTTAGATTTTACCATGTCGATCTGGCTCTTCAGAGTGAGGATATCGCTTATGTTAATTGAACAGCCAGGAGCCAGCTGCGGCGACAGCCTGAACGGAATAGAGTCGAGCGGGTTAACAGAAGCAGGTACGACGTTTGCGCTCTCCCTCACCGCTAGTACGGGGTAAGCCGGCTGCGGTATTATATTGTACGACGGAGTCGGGTAATAAGGCAGGGCGGATTCGTACGGCCGACTCACCGGATCGACAGACACGAAACCCTCGTTGGTCTCCGTTGTTATAAAATCCTGCTGCGACGAGGCTGAAGTCTTCTTGCTTCCGAAAAACCACGACATACTACAACATAAACACATTTTAAACAATTTGACTTTTAAACCGCATTTGCTTATCTGTTTAATTGCTCTTACCTGATGATAATACGCAAGTGGGCACTAGTGAGGATTTAAAGATAAAACTTTTTTAAACAAACACTTATCTAACCCTCAAAATAAATAAAAAAATACCTGTCAAAGATTCAAGCTTCGTGATCAAGATAACAAAATGTCAAACTGTGTAACCTCCCAAAAAATTCCTTATCAATTTAATTATAAATTATTTCATACAGTTTAACAATCTCAGATTTTAAATAAAAATTAATACAATCAATATTTTTTCGGATATGTATAATTTTTTGTTGATTTTCTTTTAATTTTAGGTCAATTAAAAAGTATAGAGAATGTGAAGTTTAAACACAATCAACGTTATAAAATAAACTAATATGCTTAACAAAAAATGATCATTTTTATTACAATTTGTTTTTCTTTTTTTCTTAACTTTAAATGAATTTTATTATACTGGTCAATTATTGTAGGGAAATTTGAGTACTTTTATACTTAAGGACTAAGGTTATCTGTCAGTTTTGTCTTCTTTATCAATTTATGAACGTGAAATTTGTAATTAATTTTTTTTCGGTATTCTTGTGTTTAAGACTTCTCTGTGAGAATTCCATGTAAAATAAGGGCAAAATTTCCTTTTTCTCCTTGAAGAACCGAAAACCGTCTTGTTCATATCGTAATTACAAAGATGTTTATTATACCGCATATACGTTATTTGTCCATTGGGCCACTTGTCCGTTGAGTACCCTCGGCCAACCCATGGATGTGATTTAGCTTTCAGACATGCCCAATGGTCCATCGTCTCCTTTGGGCAGCGTTAAAATTAAAAAGAAATCGGCCAAATCTAAACGTAAGTGATGAAAATTAATTCGTAATTGTTCTAAACTAATTTGGTCACTTCACACCTCTTATAGGGAATTTGTCCAACCGGATTAATTTAATTTCCAGTCGGCAGCTTTATGGTAAGTAGTTTTTCTTTAAATTTGATTTTCCAAGTCAGATAAAATATCTTTTAAATCAATAAATACACTCATAAATGTAGTGCATGGCTCGTAACTTAAATTGACAGCGCATGAGACAGAATGGAGTTGCAAGATAAACATCCATTCAATGGAATTATTAATTGTTAATTAAATCTGTTATAAACTGATAAATTACGTGTAATTTATACAAAACAAGTAAAAACAGTTGAGACACTTGTTTGTAAAAAGTAAAATAATTCCTGTCATTCAGGAGGCGTCCAACTCAGTGGTTCCCAAAGTGGTCCCTATGGACCCCGGTATTATTCAGGGGGTTCGTGAAAAATCAAAATTGATTTGGGGGACCCTGAACAATGTCAAGGAGGTCCGCGCAAGGCTTAATAAAAAATAATAAAATTGTGATCCATTTTTATTATTATGGAAATTAGCAGTATTGTAATACTCGGTAACGAGTAGGAGAACTGACAAGATAAGCAGTAACTAATAGCACTAAGTAACTGCCGTAACTTGTAACTGTAACCGTATTGCTAACGAATAAGAAAAACGATTCTTTGGAGATCGTGAGATGCGGTCTGGTCTGACGTAGGTTTTAGAAAAACATTTTCTTTATCGTGCCAACGTTTCAATCTTTATTGAGATCATCTTCAGAGCCTGGGATTTATAAACATTGTTTAAATTTTACGAATACATGTAGGATGTGAAAAATTTTTTTACGCAATGCTAGAATTTAAAGTATTTGAACTCACACAAAGTGTTTGTTTTCTGTGTTACGCAGTAACAGTGTTGTTTGTTACAGTAACCGTGGTTTGTTGCAAATAAAACATTTTATATACACATTTTCTTATATCATTTGTGCCCTTTTAAAATGCTGACAATACTGTGTTGAATATTTGAAATATGGCTTTATTTCATTATCAGGAAATAGTACTTTACTATGTAATAAAACTATATCAAATGATTCAATGAAACCTTCCAAGCTTAAGGAGCATTTAATAAAAATCCGTAGGGACAAAAAAGATAAGGATTTAACATTTCTTCAAATAGTCAAAGAAAAATATTTGAAACGCCGTCATTGCAACAACTCATAGGGACAACATCTAGGCGAGATGATGATGGACTGCATGCTTCTTATAACATTTCTTTATTGATTGCAAAGCTCAGAAAACCGTACACTATTGGTGAAGACTAGAAATTAGTGCTCGTGGGGACTTGCGGTTGCTACTCACAAACATTGAGCCGGACATAAATGCACTCATCACATCCATCAAGCTATTTTTTTTTTTTTTTAATTTTTTTTTTAAACAAAACTTATAATTTCAATAAATACTTCTTCAACAAATTGTTTTTTTAATTTTTATACTATGCATTTGTGGGTAAGTTTTGATCCATGGGTCAAAATAGTCTGGGAACCACTGGTCCAACTAGCCATTAGATGTCATGGATGAGGTGTCGGAATCATTTAAAAATACTTTTCTTGTTTTTGAACAATTATAACTTCAAACCATCATCATTATTGAATCTTTCTGATTTCCCTTTAGTCTAGTCTGTTTTATACATTTCTAAATTAAGAAGGAGCGAAAAGTTACCTTGGTCGGTTGGTGTCTATTGCAAGTAAACCTGTCATACAAGAACTTAACAACCAATGGTACGGTGTGTATCATGAATAACAATAATAACAATATATAATAACAATGATTGATTGAATGTATTGATTCATCTTTCTTTTTTTTTAATCTTGAGGCTATGCAGAAAATAAATAAATAAATTTAACCAAAAGCAAAAAATCAAATACATATTTTTGTATATTCCACAATTTTACTTTTGCTGTTTTTTTGTTTAAAAAGTATTTTTATTTATATGATTGTTGGAGAGAAGAAAACTCGAATGTTCTGTGGCATAAATATTTATTTATTTTCCATGTATTGGGCTATATGGAAATTATCAGAAACTGATCATTGAAAGAGCTGAAAGCCCGAAAGAGAAGAGTTGACGAGAAAGAAGGTTCAAGTTCTAGTCTACCCAGGACAAAAAAAAAAACCAGTTTCGAATCCAAAAAATTTCAGCTTTACCTTAACCAACCTGTTCGCAATATTTCCACATAGGTTGCAAAAACTTGTACAAGCGGCTTATGTACACTGGAAACAGTTGAACTATAAAGAGAAGTTCAAAAATTGAATTGCGAAAAGTGGGCCAATATTTGACAAAATTACAAAAAGAATCATTATAAAATCCTTTATTTTCAATTCGGACTGTATGCAATCATCATTACTGAATCTTTGCGATTTGCTTATTAAATTCAGTCAGTTTAGTGGGGGGAGGGAGACATTGGTGGCCACAACGGTTTAGGCGTTGACATGACGCTCATCACTGTAAGGTAAAGGTCCCAGATTCGAATGCACCACTTTTTTGGGCTTTTTTTTCAAAACACCGGCACGCCTAGGGTTCATATAACCTCGTAGTTGAATACCCTCATAAAAAAATAAAATAAATAAATATAAAAAATAAAAGAGTCCGTTTTATAAGTTAATGAATGTAGGAGGAATGAGTCATTACCTTTGTCAGGGGATGTCTTTGACCGGGATTAAGCCTGGGTAAAGTAATATCTGTTACGCAGGAAAGTTTAACGTCCAACTAGCCATTGGGTATCATGGGCAAGGGGTCAGAAACTCTTAAAAAAACTTGTTTGGTGTTTCAGCTTCACACCATCATCATTTCTAAGAGATTTCCCTTTGGGAAAGTTCATTCTGTGTGGGTATAAGTGTAAAAGTAGTGAGTCGTTACATTAGTGGTGTCTTTGGCTGGGATTGAGCCTGAGTAAAGTAATTTCTGTTATACTGGGCTTACATGGGAGCTCTTGAAAAAGCTTTGGGGTCTGATAACAAGCCTTAAGCTTAATAAGAAGCTCTACATTTAAAAAAAAAAATTATAAAAAGAACATACATAATACACTATATTACAGATATGTGGTAGAGCAGTGGCGTATTTAGACGAGAGTCATGGGTTCAAATCCCGCCTGTGACACAAATTTTTCATTTAAAAAAAAATTGTGTATAATTAATTGAGTAATTATATAATTGAGAATAAGTTGATGAAAATAATAAAAAGTTAGTATAATAGACAATAATATATTAGACCAGACACTTCGTGGTGTGTAGGTCGTAAAGAGGCCCACTCCTTTATAATCTAATCTAATCTTTACAGGAGTGCTTAATGTCCGACTAGTCATTGGGTGTCATGGATGAGAGTTCAGAAAGAATTTCAAAAACATTTATGGGGTTTTGGCTTCACGCCATCATCATTACTGAATCTTTGTGATTTGCCTTTAATCGAGCCCGTTTTATAAGTTAGTGAATGTAGAAGGAGTGAGTCATTACCTTGGTCATTTGGGATCTTTAGCAGTTAAAGTCTGGGCAAAGTAAAAAATTCCTGCATACAGGACATCATCCAATTAACTGTTGGATGTCGTTGACGAGGGGTCAGAAACTCTTAAAAAAAAAAAAAAAAAAGTTTCAGCTTCACGCTATCAACATTACTAAGTGATTTCCTTCTAGTCGACTGAAGTTTTATAAGATTAAAAATGCAGGAGTGAGTCATTACCTTTGTCAAGTAGTATCCTTGGCAAGTAATTCCTTTCAAACAGGAGGGCTCAATATCCAACTGCCAGTGGGGTATCACAAATAAAATAAACTTAAAAGAGAAATTTTATTTATAATAATATACATGATAAAGAATCTGGTTTTTGTGGAACAACAACGTTTATTTCTTTAAACTTTGTAGTCTTCATCCACTTGCTTTACTAGGATAGTCTCTCTGAAGATATTATCATAATTTGGGATTCAACATATCTGTAGTTTGGTTGTGTCGGTCATTGAAAAAATAAAATTTTCAAGGATCCATTGAGAAGAGCTGGCAAGTGAAAGGATCAAATATTCGAAATGTTATGTAGAGGCTTTGTCAAAAATTGCATTGTAGAAAATTGACAGTGTTGGACAAATTGTACAAAGAAAAATTTTAAATTTGCAAAACCAATGGTGGAAGTGTTTTAGAAAATCGTGGAGAATCCATATATTACTGATAGTGACTCTGGTGAAGTGATAAATAAATGAGAAAGAAAAAGCTACTGTGTTTTTCTTCTAATCATCCTCACCCTGATCATTTTTTAATATATATAATTAAAATTTTGAAGGCCGATGACCAATTATATAGATTTTTGTTGCACTAGATTTTCATCTCCCCTCCTTTTGTTTGTCATTTCTGATATTATAAATCTTAAAATAATTTGATAAAATCTTATCCTCTAGAATTACTTATTTTTATATTAAAAAATAAATAAAATGTGGTTGGCTATAATTTTATAATTTTGTCATGGCCTTTTTTTTATGTAAAACATTTATCATATATTAGTTCATGGTCAAATCGATTATTTGGTTCATTAAAAAAAAATCTTTTTCCCCATTAGTTGACTTTTCTTCGCGAATTTCCACCTTAATATACTTTTGAAGGCTGATTTGTTTTTTTTTTTAGTCTTACTTTTTGCATCAGAAATCATGCTGGAAGGGTTATTTAGGATGATATTGTTTCTCTTGTGCCAACTACAAACCATAGATCATTGATCGAGCTAATACAGTAAAAACAGGCATTATTTATTTATTTTGTGATTTAAGTTCACAACCACTTAAACTATCAACCACTTGGAGAGAAAAAAACCCGCCTTGGCACATCTTTTCCACTTTTTCCTCTCATAAGTTCTCAAATTCTACAATCCACAGTCAGTAAATTGTCGGATAAATTTGTTTGTTGGATTATAATGAAAAATCTTAAAAATCTGCCTGGAAGTTACAAAGCCTTTTATGGACTTTGATCCAAACCATCTCCTCTTCTTACAGTCTTACTTTCTAAGTTCTTTATTTTCTTTATTTCTGGGGTTGACCATCAAAGATTAGATATCAAGACTTTGTTTGTAGATTGTTATGAAACAAAGTGTTTTACAAGTACTTCATGGTTTTTGATCGACAAATTTATCCAGGTATGCTCTCTCTCTCTCTCTCTCTCTCTCTCTCTCTCTCTCTCTCTCTCTCTCTCCCACACACACACACACACACACATACATGAACGTACATACACATACACCTTTAATAAAGCAAATTCTAAAAGGGGGCGTCGGTGGCCGCAAGGTTTAGTCGTTGACACGGCGCTCATCACTGTAAGGTAAAGGTCTTGGGTTCGAATCCGGCACCCTGAGAGTTTTTATGACCTCTGCTGTTGTGAACCCTCGTAAAAAAAAAATCCATAAATTGGCTGAGTGGTTAGGGGATATATCTTGCATTTGCTTGACCACGACACCCAACATCTGTCCAGTTGGATATTAAGCCCTTCTGGAAGACAAGAATTACTTTATTTTTTACTAAGCATAATTATGTTGAACTAAAAGACAATTGTTCTGTAAAATTACTTTTAAATTTACGAATACATCTGGCATTGTATAAATTTTGCAACAGTAGATAAATTCAAAAATCTGCCATTTTAGATCATTATAGTATACAATTCTAAGCTATTTTTGTAATTGTATTCATGGGATAAATTTTAAAAATTGTTTCTGTCCTACCGAATATTTTGTTTAAAATGATTGAAAATTGACAAATGTTTAAAAAAGATTTGTTAATTTCAAAATAAATGTTTCAAATACGTCTAGATCAGCGGCTACCAAACTTTTTCTGTTACTGACGCCCTTAAAATATCAGAATTTTTCCACAGCGCCTCAAGTCAAAAAAATGGTCTACCTCAGCGTGAACTGAAGGCTCATTTCCAATTCAGACTGACATTGATTATAAAAACCTCTTATTTTATCTGCCATTTTATTTATTAAATAATAATAATTCCTCACTTTCTTGTGAAATTGCAAAACTTGCCTTTGAATAGCGATTATGCACTTAATAGCAAAAATATAAAAGCAAATACTTTTTATTGGGCAAGAATATAAAATACACAATTGATGCTGTCTTGTCTATTTGGAGATTGGATGGCTACCAGGCTCTTAGTTTTTAGGGTTTTATAGAACTATATTTTTAAGGGTTTTTTTTTGTTTAATATAAAAATAATGTTTTTTAATAGAAAATTTTTGCTGCACCCTTGTAGCACAGCCATAGCGCCACAGGGAGCCACGGCGCACAATTTGGAAATCAGTGATCTAGATTATAGAAGAAGTAATTTTTTGTTTAATAAACTCAGTATGTCCAGAATGGTTGCAGTACTGACTTGTACCTAGTCAGTTGAGTAAAACTGTTGAGTTACAACAGATTTCAATCTTAAAAGTCTTCATAATTAATTTTAAAAATAGGCAAAAATAAATGCATCAGTGGTTAAAGATAAAATCTGAATATTAATCTACAATGTTTTTCCCATGTTTTTTGTAAATAAAGTATTCTGAGTCGAATCTGTGTTTAAACTTCTGTCGATATATGTTTAATTAGTTTTTAAAATATATAATTTTATATATATTTCAGCATGTATACCCTGAATGCCCAGTGGTTTCACAAATGTATCCGCCTTTTAAAACTTAAACAAATTATAAGTCCTTTGATAAAATGTTATTTAAAAACTGAACTCTTAACCATTTTAAAAACTAGATTAACATTATATTTAGATCATATGCATATACAATAACATATATATTTTTTTTTAATGTTGCTTCCACCTCAGTTTCATTTCTTTGCACTTCTAACAAATGGGCTATAATGAATTTGCAGTTGGTGAAAGAAGAAAGTGATGTGGTGGTGGGTTAGGATTAACAAAATGGCTGGTAAGAACTTTTAAATTTAATTTTTCTTCAAATATAAACTTTAATTAGCTTAACACAAAAGGTAGCATATGGAGGACGAGAGATAACATTTATCAACTCAGGAGTTATCTTTCTGAAAATTACTTCTCAACTTGACTATTATCAAACAAATTTTTGTAATGTTTAGTTTTAGGTTTGTTGTAAACTAACATATTTAAAAATGTGGAACAATTTGACAAAAAATTAGTTTAATTATATGAACAAATAACAAGTGTCAAAAGATTTGTCTGTATAATAGATTCACAACTTTTGTAAGCATAAAAATCACCGTCTTCCTGTCTTAATTGTTATTTTCCTGTGCTGAATATTTCTACCAGTATTCACCTTTTCTTTTATACAACATTCATGTGTAAGCATATTATTTAATTTAATAAACTCATAAACTTAATGCTATTAGTATCGGCTCATCAAATCGTGACTATCTTATGATGTTTAAATCTATAATAAGTAATTTTCTTTTCTCAAGATAATATGAAAATTAAGAAAATAACATATAAAACTAAGCTTATTTAATTTAATATATGAATATCTTTTTAATTTTTAACATTCTAGTTAGCTTTCGTCCAGTCGCCGCCAAGACATTTGTCTTCACTCTGTGTATAGGGATAGTTTTTGGATTTACTTTCGCTTATTTACTTCTAATAACAACATCCTCGTACAACGTCCATGACTTCATACTCTTTCCTGAAAGGTAGGAAATGTAAATTTCAATACTTAAAATATTTGTTTAAGTTTGATTTTTTTTTTATCATCATTAGACAGGTTCATTTTAGGCCGGATGCACACTCTCACACTCATATCGAAGACGTCGAAGAGATTGTCGGCAACGTCGGCGAACATTCAGACATGGAAGATTTACACAAAGGTATTTGTCTGAAAATATTCTTTAAAAAAATTAAAATAACGATTTTTTCTCTTTATTTCTTTAGGTGAAGATGTAGTAGCAAAAGAACTAGCAGAGAAAGTCAGAGTCTTATGCTGGGTGATGACATCGCCAAAAAATCATCAGAAAAAGGCAAAACATGTTTATGCGACGTGGGGGAAACGGTGCAATATCCTGCTATTTATGAGTTCCGCAAATGGTAAGTTACTAATATTACTAAATTGTCTCGGCCTGTCTGTTCTTGCTGATTTTGCCTATTTCTCAAAGTGAAAAATGAAATCACATCTGTTCGATAAAACCGAGACTGGGAAGGCCAGGACGGTCAGAGATAGATTCAGTTTGAATTTTTTTTCCTTTTAGATAGCCATCTACCGACTGTGGCTCTACCAGTTCAGGAGGGAAGAAACAATTTGTGGGCAAAGACCAAAGAGGCTTTTAAACACATTTACTACAACTATTTCGATAAAGCTGACTGGTTTATGAAAGCTGATGATGATACGTAAGTATATTTATGAACTTTACCTTTCTTAACTTTATAAGGAAATTTTTAAAACAAATTGAAAATTGCAGGTATGTAATTGTAGAAAATTTAAGATATATGCTAGCGGAATTCAACACCTCGGAGCCTATGTATTTTGGGTGCAGATTCAAGCCTTATGTCAAACAAGGCTACATGAGTGGAGGTGCAGGTTCGTTTTTAAATATAAATAAATCAAATTTTGTTTAAAAGTATACTAATTGACATTCCTCGTCTAGGCTATGTGCTCAGTAGAGAAGCCTTAAAAAGGTTTGTAGAAGATGGACTTCCGAACAAAACAAAATGCCGACAAGATGCAGGAGGAGCTGAAGATGTCGAAATGGGTAAGTAAAAGCTCAACTTTTTAACAAAATTATACAAAAAATCTAGTACAATCCAGTGTTAGTTTAATATTTTACTCAAGACAGAAAATCTATATGGGAATAAGCCGACCAGGATGAACAGATGTGATGAAGTGAATCCCTCTTAACGGATACTCTTCAATAGCAATTACCTCTTTTAATGGACAACTTTTCCATTCCCTGTCAAAAAAGATAGGATTTTTTCTATACCAGTCTCAAGTAATATCATCAGTAATTAATAATTATAATTCTCCCCTCAAGAATTGATGTAAACAGTAACATATTAGGCTGGTATAAAAATAATGCAGATGAAAAGGCAGTCAAAACTATTTTTAATCTTTCAATTAATTAAGGTGTTTAATTGAGATAAAAGAGTCAGTGTCACAAGCGTGATTCGAACCTACAACTCTCGGCTTGATACACTGCCACTCTACCACTTGAGCTATCGTGACCTCGATCCACTCGGTCACTAACTTCCCATCTCAACCCCACCTTTTGAATTTTCCCTCCTTTTTGCCATTTTTCAATAAATAGTTTATCTCAACTAAAAACTTTAATTAATTGAAAGATATTAATTGGTCAAGCGGACCAAGAAAACTAGTGAACTATTTTTAATTTTTTTTAAAGTAAACAAGATTTATTCAAAATATTTTCCATCACAATCTATAACATCTTTGCCAACATGTAATAAGCACTTTTATTCCCTTGATATTAAAATCTTTATTTCAACTCACAATAAAGTCTTTGAAGGTGTCTTCAGCTTTACCGCATTTTCAACAAATTTTATCCCTTAAGAAGTGATCAAAATGCCTGGAAGTCAGTTGGCAAGAGATCGGGTGAATATGGAAGGAGCAGTAAGGTTTCCTATCCTAAGCCCTTAAGTTTACGCAGGGTTGGCATTATGACATATGGCCTGGCATTATTGTGAGCAAGAATCGGCCTCTTTTACGATTTATCAATGCAAAGATGTTGCAGTTTCCCATGTATTTTGTCATTTTTTGGCAATGTTTCTCTGTTGTATTACCATAATTCAGGAATTTACAGTGAACAACCCCAGTAGTACACTACCAAACCACCCATAACCTTTTTGGGGTGTAGATTTGGTTTTGGGAAGTGTTTTGGCACTTCATCCTTGTCGAACCACTGATCTGTAAGTCTCCTGTTATTGTACAGAATCCATTCCTTATCGGATCGAGAAATGGTTCATTTTGGTGGTGCAATAGAAGAGACGTTCAAATTTCAAAACATCGATTTTTTTGGGGGGCTTTGGTTAGTTCGTGCAGCACCCACTTTTTAAGCTTCTTTACTTCAACAATTTGATCCAGATGGTGAACAACACTAAGCTTTTCCCCTATTTCTCGTGTTATCTTATGTGAATTTGTTTCAACCAACTTTTGAGTTGGTCGTCATACACAAGGCATACCGTGACCTCCCCTTTCTTCAAGACTGAAATCTCTGAAACCATCTCTGCACCGTACATTTGATAATGCTTCCCTCCCCCAAACACTATTGATGTTATGCAGTATGCACGGTTGCCCAAGTTTTAAATTCATACAAATATAATGAAAATCTAGTTTGGACATATTTAATTTTGCAAGTTCTCACTCTTATAAAATTCAATATAAACTAAAATGTTTTATATAAAAGATAACAGTTAGGCCTAGTACGCACTGGGATTCTTTGAGTCGACTCTTTGTATCTCCGGAGAGTCTCAGCTGCGTCTAGGCTGAGTCCGGGCTGCTCCGACTCATTGTTGTGATGAATCTAGTGTGTTGCGGGCTAGCATTTTCGGACTCTTTTGAATCCCATCCGATGGGGGATTCTTTGACTCAATGTTGCGCAACATTTGCCAGTGCGGACGTGAATCGGAACAAGCGCTCTTGCTTCATTTGTTTAGTTAACATTATAGTGAATGCTTTCTTGAAGATTTTGACAGTGTCTTGTATAAAGGTATGTTGTGGAGTACCAAGTTGACATAACAGTTTATCGAAGACATGCATTTCCATCGGTGTTTGTGGGATGTATCATTCTCAGAATACAGAAATCGGGAATTGAAAAGCGAAACTTTGAAAAGTTTAGCCCAAAAATTCCGCCAGCCAAAAAAAAGTGTTTCCGTCGCCGAAATAATAATATTTGTCGAACCCATCATCTTTTTGGGCATTTTTTAATGCACCTCCGATTGGATTCACTGCGTACAATGCAAAAAAGAGCAAGGGAAATCCCTGAGAAAGCTAGTTCCTCTGTCATTTTCGCAGGCACTGATGAACATGAATCTTGGTCTGGACATGGTTCTTTGTCGCGGAGCAGAGTCAGGGCTGCATCGCAACATGAATTGATTCAAAGAATCTCAGTCCCTACTAGGCTTTAAAAATATTTATTATATACAGAAATTATATTTGTGATTTGGCTTTGTTTATACTAATTACAAATTAAATTATACTTGGCTGTGAAAATAAAATAAGTTGTCAAAACCTGCATTAATTTTGCACCAACCAAATATATTAAATGGGTTTTGACACAGTTAAAAAATTCTGCTTCTTCAACCTTTTTTCCTTTTTAGTACTCCTTTTTTTGCGGGAGTTCCCTTCCTCTTTGCTTGGTATGGTATTAGCCAAAGGGCACACCTTAACTATCAAGTCTTAACTGTATTCGTCAAATTAAAAGCGCTATGTTGGATTGGAACGAATTAAAAATGCATCATAAGCATGAAATGTCTTTATCTAAGTTTTAAAAAAAAGAAGAGATGTAAAATCGTCCCCAATAGGAACCCCTCAATAACAGACACAAGCACTCTTCTTGGGTGCTCGTTACAGAAGAGTTTCACTGTTCATGAAAATCCTGGTTTACATATCCTCACTGGTTTTGTGTATGTGCCAGTATTTTACTTCAGTAGTTGATATATAGCTGACAGACAAAACCTGGATGAATATACCCTTAGATGATTACAATGATTTATCTGTAAATTTTAATCTCGGTCTATCACTTGTCAGTTTTATCTGTCAGACATATATTTACATATTCTGGACCCAATGACTGAAGAAACAAAATTCTAATTGATATTTTATTTCGGTGGTCTGAAACACTGAAGGCAAAGTGAGAATCGATCAAACTATACGAATGTGTATATTTAAAGTTTTATCATCTTTGATCATTATGGTCCATTTATTTGCACTGGTTTTGACAGTTTGTGTACTTTCGTAGGTGATCAGTATGTCTGACAGTCAAAATTAATTAGAATAGCCCTGTGATGATCGCATGCAATTTATCTATAAATTTTTATAAAGTTTAATCTTCTCGATTTATTGATTCTTGTAGTTTTGGACAGAACGACTGGAGAAACAGAATATTAATTGATGATATTTTTCTTCTGCGGTCTGTATGATAGGCAAAAACGTGATAATATAAAGACCAGGATAATCGTAGTTCATTAAACCTATTTACACCAGTTTTGACAGTTTGTCAGTATTTGCTACAACACAAATCCTGTGGATAAACAATCAACAATTTTTTAATGTTTTTTTTTTTATTGCTCAATTGTCTCTGATCATTGTGGTCTTTTGCTTCTACATTTGTATGTGTTATTTTGTCAAACGTAAATGATGGAAGGTTCTTAATTTAAATTGAAAATATTTTAACCAAGATAAAATTCATTATTTGTTGAAGTTGTTAGGAGTGGTCAAGGATGAGGTAGTTTTAGAAAAACACCTGTTTCATTTTTTTTGCCGACATTTACATATTAAATTGTATTTTTTTAAATCAACATTCATTTTGTACTTTACCCAGGCCCTGAAGATGACCCGAATAAAGGTTGAAACGTTGGCAAAAAAATGAAAAAAAGGCCTTTTTCAGAATTACCTTATTCCTGACTGCTCCTTAGACTTCAACAAATTATGAAACAACAGTTCACTAAGAATCAGACATAAAATTCATTGCAGTCAAATTTAAATTTCATTGGCAGAATAATTCAATTTGTTCCTCAAATTTTAGGTAGATGCATGCAAAATGTCAACGTCGTAGCCATGGACTCAAGGGATTCGCTTGGAAGGGGGAGGTTTTTCCCTTTTGTACCGGAACACCATCTAATCCCAGGCCATACAGATCCAAGTTTCTGGTATTGGCAGTGGATTTATTACCCTTCAAAAGAGGTTTAATCTTTATTTTTTAACCTAATTAAAAAAATAACGGACAATAATAAACACTAATCTTATTTTTAGGGACTCGAATGTTGCTCAGATTCTGCAATATCTTTCCACTATGTACCGCCGAACATGATGTATGTTATGGACTACCTGATATACCATTTAAGGCCGTTCGGTATCAATAGGATCGCTCACGTTCCAAATTCAAAGCGGCCGGTTAAGCCGACTTCGAATACAACTTCCGATGAAAACGACAATCAAACATAAATGTGATGTGGGCATTTCATATCATGAAGAAGCTACAGTATAGCGGTAGGTGAAGATTGTCGATAAGACTGAAACGGTAAACTTTTATTAAAAAAAAAAAAAAAATGGTATGGGATATTGATATCTGATATCTGGTGATAGTTTAGTATCTTAATAGCAATTTTTTTCCTAAAATTTGAATATATTGTACGATCATTATCGACTTATTGTCAAGAATTTTATTTTTGTAAGCCACTTTATTATTCTTAAACTACAAAATTTGTCTTTTATTCGAACAAATTTGAATTAGGTGTATGCCTGTCGCCGCTTGGAATATATTGTAACTTTGGCCTTTTAAAGGTCTCTTTAAAATCTTAATATCTTCTCAAGTCTAAAAAATAAACATTTCTGCTTTTGAGAAGATTTTTGAACATTATTTATGATATTAAATAAAACATTACAATAGAATGATTTATACAGTTCCTAATATAATGCCATATACAAAAAAATTATATGTATTGCACAGTGAAAATTCAGTTGACAAAGCTGACCTGAATTTTTTATTTAGTAAAAATGAAAATCAAACAAAGCATTATGCTTTTTTCCACAATAACAAAGGTCATAGCAACCCTCAGGGTGTATATGTTTGTGAAAAAAAACATTTGTAAGTTTGTCAAGGACGCAGGACCTTTGCCTTACAGAGATGAGCGCCATGTCAACGCCTACGTTGTGGCCACTGACACCCCATATTACAAATTAATATTATTAATTATAAATTATGACGTAGAAACTATAGATCGCTTTTTTTTTTTTTTGTTAATTTATCCCAAAGTTGTTTAAATTTTGTAAATTAATTTTAATTCGTAGTTTGTTTATCATCCTTGTTCTGTCAGGCGAATTTCAGCACTTATAAAAAGGGCGCAGTTGACAGCACATAGTCAAACCCCAAGGATACAGACTGGAATGATCGGAGACCAAACTAGAGGATATTTTGTTTGATTTTCATCGGTTGGTTATTAGAATGTTTATTTGTATTTATATACTCAATTTAGAACAAATGTAAATAAGTTTTATGATCAAATCAGAATACTTCTGTAGAAGAACTTTATGAAATTCTCTTTATTAGAACGCTTTGAGAAGTTCTTTGTAAATGGAAAAAATCCAAGTCTGCTAGAAAGCTAAAAGCACCTTGTTATTTAATTTTGTTTTGTTTTTTCTTTTGCTCAAAGTGCCAAAGATGCAGCATTATATATTTTATATGTATTGCATTTTGCAACATCCATATTTTATTATGTAACATATAATGAAATATATTATTTTCTTTGAAAATTACATTCTACAGTTAAGACGTTACATTGTATTGTATTTGACTAGTCAAAAAAAAAAAAAAAAAAAAAATGTAGCTCAAATAAGTTACAATAAATATTCCTTTATAATTTTTTTTTTCTCTTTCCTATGAATTATTGGCCAGATCCTTACCTTCACCAAGATAGGGGTCGTACAACACAACCCTAGAGGCTGAGTTCTCAACAATGTCATTGTATGAGACCTAGATGAAATTTATCCCACCAAACCACTAAATATACTGGATTTATTTTTAGACTAAAAAATTCATTAGTCATGCAGCAAAATCCGAGTTGAGAACGACCCAAATTCAGATATTCAGTCTTTCTGGAATTCAGCATGCTCCCCTTGTCACAAGCGTCTAGTAAGTTAGATGAAAGTGTCATTAAGGTTAAGGTTAAAAAAGTAGGCCTCTTTATGACCTTCCGTACCATGATTAATATTGGTCTATTGTGCAATTTCCATTATATAGTTGTTTTTTTTTTGTTAAGCTTAAGGTTTTTTATCAGACCCAAAGCTTTTGTTAAAGGCCTCACTGGTTTGTTCAGTGTTTCAGCATTTCACTATTTTCTGGGTCTGATAAAAAACCTTAAAGATAGGCAGACCAAAATCGATCAGTAGTGACAAAATTACAGGTGTGCCACAGACCACATAGTTTGGTTAGGTTAGGAGTCAGCTTTTTACGACCTTGTATATTGTATCTGTTGTGCAATCAACATTATTATCTAGAGCTTTTTGTTAAGTTTAAAAGGCTTTTTATCAGATCCCAAATCTTTGTCCAGGGCTAAGGTGTGTTTCCTTTTGGCTTTGGTATTCCCCTCCCCGGAGTAGAAATCCCAGCACCAGCAGAGGACAATGTTCTGCTTTCTTCTTCCTGGCAATAACTACTATATATATATATATATATATATATATATATATATATATATATATAAATTATCCTAGAGGTTTAACAGTTTTCCATAAATTTCTGCGATTATCCTTTAATTAACTTTTTTGCCTACTTCCATTTATTCCCTCTAAACTGAGGACTTATCTGTTAGATGAAGTCTGGTATGGCGCAAAAGGGTTCAAGACCGATATCCTACTTTCCTTGGCAAACCTATAGGCCACCTCGTTGTATCTCTGCCCTGAGTACCCAGCCAGGTACCCAATGTCTGATAGTGACTTGATGCAATCCCAACCAGATCTGGACTTTATTATTTACTACCAATGAGTTAGTTGCCTTTCATGTTGCCTGACTGTTTGATTGAATGGTTGTTCTGTTTTTAATATCCATACTTTTGATCTTCTTGACACAGTGTGCAATAGCCGCAGTCTCTGTTAGGAAGATAGTGCCATATTGCCCTAGACTTATATGTATATGAACTTGGTTTATTTCCATAGATACCATCTCCTGATCATACTCAGACTTAGAGTCATTGGTACACCAGATGTAATCAACATTAACCAGGATGCCATTATCTAAGTCTGCTTTCTTGTTTTGTTTTTTTAATCAAATCTGAATTTTGATATCATGGCATCAACAGGCTTCCCAGAACCTTGTCTGCCTGTAGCTCCTCTGAAAACTTTAATTTCCTTATGCGACTGGACTGTTGGAGCCTCTATGTCTATTTTATCATAAATTTGCCCTGAGGAAGGTGAAATTTATACATTGAAAATTTATACAAGCCAATTTATAAAAGTTTTGTTCATTGGACCAGATCCCTGATCCATTTTTATAATTAACAGCTGCTGGTCAATTACTACATCCTTACTGATGGTCAAAGATGACACCTAGAAGCCTTCTCATCAAAGTCAATCGTCGCCTAGATGCCTTCATAATCTTACTAGTACCCTTTTCTTGGAAAAGTTAACATGTTTCATTGTGGTTTAATGGCAACTCTTCTTTTCTGCACCGTCTCGTTGAGTTGAGCGAACCTGCTCTGTAATGACTATAAAACATTTAACTTGAACTAGATGAAACAAAACACGAGAAACTTTCTGGGTGAGAATTGATTTGTCCTACAGATGCCAGTGTCCCATTAATCAATATTTTGTAAAGAGTTAGCTAAGGGCGAGATGTCTGTAGACATTGGGTGTAATTGATTATTATTGATGGGATGGGTATCTGTACACAGAGACACACACTATATGCAGCAAGAATTCTAGAGGCACAAGCTGTCTTCTTATATTATTTTCCTTGATTTGTTGGATAGAAGATACTTGGAAGCGGAGTTTCTGCTACTCAGGCACTGCATCAGTGCAGTCTTCTGGCTTATTGCACCTTGGCTAGTTTCCTTGTTCAGTGCAATAGGCTCAATCCTTATTTTCAAAAGTATCAGGTCATTGACTACTGTCACCACTACAATTTCATTCCCTAGGTTTTTCTTTATGCTAGGTTATGTCTCCGTTAAGCCTTTGCTTCGCATTCGAAGATGATATAAGTGGCTGTTTCTTCTTCCTCATTAATCTGCAGATGGGATCATTATTATATATGCCAATGTTATGTAGATGTTTTCTCAGATGCCAGTGACCGGTTAATAGTCCTATCACTCCTTTGAGTTTAGCCCTTCCGATTGTAGCAATGCATTTGCCAGTCTTGGTGAGAGTTGTTTTATCATAAGTTTACCGTTTCTAGCGCCCTTAGAGTTTATCCACTTCTCCTTTTGTTTTATTTGGATCCATTCTGCGAGATTTGGGAAAATAAATCGTTTATTAAATCAAATCTCTCTTTCTTTCTTTCTCACACCCTCTCTTTATCTCTCTCTCTCCCTCTTGCTCTTTCTTTTGTTCTCTCACTCTCTACCTTTCTATCTCTGTGAACATCAAATCCGGGTTCCTTTTTAAAAACTTTATGGCTTGAAAATGAGTGAAGCTTTGCTGTTTTGTTATATTCCTTTGTCATTTCGATTTCATGTGTGAAGCTTTTTTCACCAATACCACCCAACAGAGCTTTTTCGATCCGATTCTATGATCCTAAAGATAAACTGCTAAGAATTTCAGCGCTTTGCCTTGATGCCCCCTTAATGCCAAACACATTAAAACAACTTTATGTAGTACATTTCCGTTCGCTGTAAAATTCCGGCAAAATATCTAAATATTTTTTATTGGTATTAGAATACAAAAGAAAAGTTAGGGTGATGGTGATGGTGATGAGGATACTTGGATGCGTTTGTGCTCCCCAGGCACTACATCCTTTGGCTTATTGCGCCTTTTCAGTTCCCTAGTTCAGTGCAATCGATACTTTTCAGAAGTATCAGTTTTTTTTTGTTTCCTAGAGTATGTCTCCATTGAGCCGTTGCTTTGCATTCGAAGATGATATGGGTGGCTGTTTCTTCCTCCTCATTACATTATACATGTCCATGTTGTGTAGATGTTTTCTCAGATGTCGGTGACTGGTTAATAGTCCTTTAACTCCTCTGAGTATGGCTCTCTCCAACTGCAGTAATGAGTTTGCTCATCTTGGTGAGGATTGTTTTAGCGTAAGTTTACTGTGTCTAGCGTGCCTAGAGTACTTCTCCTTTTGCTTTATTTGGTAGCATTCTGTGATGCAGAATTATATATTTGTGTTTGTTATCCCAAATATACATTCAGGCCTCAGGGCCTATGTTTGGTCTTGCAGACCCTCCTCTGGCCAGTGTCTGTTTTTCGATACCCAAAATTTCTTTGTGACCTGGCACCCAAGATATCTGGTTTGGAGATTTTTGATTCACTGACTAATTTTGATATGATGGTTTTACATGATAATGCTTTGAAGCTGCTTGGCAAATTCTAATTTTACATGCAGCAAAAATTCTAGAGAAGTAAGTTTGTCATCTTGTATTATTACCCTAGGAATTCAGTGTTGCATTGAAAACAAAATTGATCTTTCAATTTGGAGTGTATGCTTCATTTATTTTTATAAGTGGTTTATTTTTTCACTTTTTTTTCATTCAAGAAGATTTTTAATTTGTCTGCTATTGAACGGATCGATACACCCGGAGAAATAAACGTATTTTTATCGATAACGGTGACCGACTGATGGTACGATCTCCCTACTACCTAAAGCCAACCGGCCGAGTGCCCAACTGCCAACGTACGTCAGAAGTCAAAGTCAAACCAGTCGAGGTTTTGTTACAACGGACGTGAGTCGTCCATAGACACAGTCGACACTATATTAATTAAGGCCGAGACGTAAAAGCGTTCAAATGGCCACGGGAGGATTGCTTTCAAAGGTCCGTTCAGTGTTTTTTTCATCGCCTATTTAATTGTATTAAATTTATTATTTTACAGACCAAGGTTGCTCTCAGGCCGTACCTACGTGCCTACAGCACCGGTGTGAACGAAGTGTTCATCGTGAGCGGTGCCAGGACGCCCATGGGATCGTTCAGAAGTACTTTGAGTTCGTTGCCAGCCACAAAACTTGGCGCCGTCGCGATTGAAGTAAGTGGTTCAAAATTAATTAAAAAATTAAAAAAAAAAAAGCAACCTTTGACCAGAACCTTACATTACATAACAGTTTTTTCATAAATATCCCCCCCCCCCAAAAAAAAAAAAAATTGGCCTCGACTTGCTTTAGCAAAATATTAAGTACCAGCGGAAAGCATATTAAAACATTGAACAAAAACCACTTGTACGATTCAATATATTGAAAAAAAAAAAAAAAAAAACCATATTGGCACAATTCCAGTATTGCAACTTCAAAAGAATCTGGATAAACTGGTTCCTCCTCCTTGATCATAATTTTTTTTTTTCTCACGTGTAAGTTTTATTCTTTCATACATAGCCCTGAATCTAATTTGAAAGACTGCTATAAAATCGAAACTGTCAATTTGATTGTGACTGAATATGATCATGATCATGATAAAAGGAGACAAGGAAGTGGGCGTTTATGTCGCATCAATAAAACAGCGAGCGACTGATAAAACGTGTTATAGATGGAAATCGATGCTAAAAAGCGGTAAAGTGAAGGCCACCGTGGTCACGAATAAGCAGAAGCATTGGTGGTGGTTTGCATTGGTGTACTGAACTATGGTAACCCATGGGGTCCATACTCCGAAGTAGCTGCAAGTGACAGTTACCCCTTATTGAGATTATCAAAGGATCACACACATAGTTCATGATACAGGGTGGTCCAGCATAAACCCCCCTCCAAAAAAAAAAAAAAAAAAAAAAAAAAAAAAAATGAGATAGTACATCCTAAGTAAAGTGAAATACAACCAACTGAACTGTTCTATCTCAATCTGGTCTGAAGTTATGAATATTGAATGAAAAAGTGCATTTTCTAAAACAGCTCTGTCCCCTTTTGTTTGGTTAAAAATGATTCATTTATTATTATATATTTTTTTTTATAATGGCTTGAGAGCTGCATAGCCAAGAAACATGATGATAAATGTATGCGATGCAGTTTTTTTTGTGGGGGGCGGGCTGCTTGAACAAAAAGGCCAAGGTTGATGGGGATCGAACCCACGACCGCAAGGTCTAGTAGAGTCTATCATGTTAACCACTTGGCTACCGCAGACCCCCTTAAAAAGGGTTCTACTGTATTTTATATACATGTACTTATGTGTGACCCTTTGCTAGTCTCATAAGGGATAATTGTCACTTGCAGCTACTTAGAATTATCAACCCCAGGGGTTACCATAGTTCAATAGGCTACGGTAGGTACTGTACTTCATATTTGCGTGTAAAATACATCGGATGTTCAGTTTTAATTGAAAATAGTTTGTTTTTACACCTTTTACCGCATGCCAAAACCCTCCATGAATTATCAAAAAAAAAAAAAAAAAAAATGTATTACGTGAAATGCCTACGTTCCCTTTTGTTTGATTAAAAAGGGTGCTTGTGTATTTTTGTATTTTTTTAATATACAGGGTGGTCCAGCACAAATCTGAAAAGAATAGTAATAATAGTAAATAATAAAAATAGTACATCCTGAATAGAACTACCTCAGTCCAGTTGGAAGTTATGAACTTTACATCTTTTTTTGAAAAATCCCGACCTTAAGCCATAAATAGTTTTTTTTTTTCACGATCTATAGCATCTGTTCCACTTTTGAACCACATTTTTGAATTCTGCATTAAATTTCATATAAGAAGGAGCTATTTTTAATCTTATCAAACGCCAATGTTCTTTACTAATTCAACCCTATATGAAAAATTTTCAAAAAAGGAGAAACTTTTGATCAATTTCCAAAAATGTTGTTAAATTTTTCAACAAACATATTTGTAGGGGTGCGAAACATAAAAACTTCTTCAATTAATAAGCTTTCTTATGGTGTACTCGAAGTTCCAAAAATGTCAAGCCTTCAATGGTAAAATCAACCTGGAATGTTAAAAAACCTGGTTCAAACATGTAAATTTAACACATTTTATTTATTTATTTTTAAATATTTTATTATTTATTTTTATCCGTGACAGGGTTGGGGTAATAATGCCATTTCCTTCCGTGCTGCCCAATACAAAATAGGAGAGGATTGAACATGTCTCGAACTCCAGCAGTGTTAACCTTGAATTTACAAGAGAGATAGATTGGTATAAACCGCCGCATCTCAATCTGCTAGACTTTTTTTTGTTTGTGGCCCCCTGAAGGAAATTGGGTAGAAAACACCAGTAAATACTGCAGATGAATTATGGACAAGAATTGAAGACGTAGCCCGATTTCTCAAGTTCAAATCAACTACAAAAGTTACTTTGGACAACTGAGAAAATTATGCAGAGTGCCCATTAGGCACCACGTAAGGCATTTTGAACGTTTGTTGTGCTCTTCTTTTTTTTTAAGTATTTTATTTCATAATAAAGGGACTCGACTTAATAATGTTACATAATTCATTTCTTTTTTAAATCCCACTTCAGCAACAGTGCTGTTTAAAAATTTTGAAATAGTACAGTACACTCCTCTTCTGTATGCGCTAAATTTTCACATTTGAATCATGTTTTTTGGATTTCGAGTACACCATAAGAAAGTTTATTAAATGAAGAAGTTTTTATGTTTGTTGAAAAATTAAAAAAAAAAAAATTGGAAATTATCAAGTTTCTCCTTTTTTAAAATTCTTCATATTGGGTTGAATTAATAAAGAAAATTGGCGTTTGATGAGATTAAAAATAGCTCCTTCTTATATGAAATGTAATGCAGAATTCAAAATTGTAGTTCAAAATTTGAACAGATGCTAGATCTTGAAAAAATTAGAATTTATGGCTTAAGGTCGGGATTTAAAAAAAAAATTAATTAAAAAAATAAATAAAAAAAGTCGTAACTTCTGATCGGATTGAGATAGGACAGTTCGGTTGGTTGCATTTTACTCTATTTAGGATGTACTTACTACAACCCAATGTTTTTGGGTTTGTGCTGGACCACCCTGTATATAAAATACAAAAGTACCCTTCTTAACCAAACAAAACGGGGATGGAGGCATTTTGCATAATTTTCAGATAAATCATGGATAGTGTTGGCATGAGTAAAAAATGCACAAAAAATATAATTCCAATTAAAACTAAACGATCTATGCATTTTACGTGCAAATATGAAGTACAGTATACAATGTAGTCCAAGGCTTTCCAAACTTTTTAGCCTGCAGACCACTTTCGCAGAACAAAATCCAGGGCGGACCCATCTCATTCCAGTATTTAAAATTAGATAGTTACTTGTAGTATATAGTATATATAGTAAACATTGATTTTCATCAAGCATGCAAGATACAATACCGTTAACACACAGTTTTATTAGGGTTTCAGCGATATGAGCTTTACCTGCCTGTGCCACTTGATTACATATCAAGTAAAACGTTTTCATAGAGTTTTTATTGACAGGTTTTGCATGAGTTTTAATGAAGGTTTGAGAAGTGGCCAGTTCAGTGTGCTTCCTCATGAAAAAATCAGCCTGTTTCTCCCTCAGTTCTGGGAGTGTAACCTCAAAATCAGGACACAATTTAATTGGAACCATTGAACAATTTGGAAGGACTTTCGCGCTGAGATTTACCCTCATCAGCCTTCAAAAATCACAAATCTAATTGGCTGTCGTAGTACTAATACTTCTTAGATATTACACTTCCCCTGGCTGTTTGACCTATTCGGAGACTTGTAAAATTTGACCGGCTGGATTCTGCTGAGGTGCTTCATCTGAAGGCTGTTCTTCATTTGGATTGTCAGGAATGTTCTCATTGGAAGGTTGTCCTTCCACCTTATAAATTACAATTCGGAGCTTTCCTGGCTGTGAATGCGAAGGAGAAACTGTATACTTCCTCAGAGATCCTGACTTCAACCACCGATCCATATTCCATACTGGAGTGAGAATGGCACAAGTACACTCAAGAGAGAAATTTGAGGTTGAATAATAATTCCTTAAATTCACTAATTTCGTGGTCCGCTTGACCAATTAATACATTACAATTAATTAAGGTTTTTAGTTGGCACGAGCCAAAGTCAATGGCACGAGCGGGATTCGAACCCACGATCTTCGGCTAGATTACGCTGCTGCCCTACCACTTGAGCTATCGTGACCTCGATCCACTCGGACATCAACTTCCTATCTCAACCACACCTTATGAGTTTTCCCTCCTTCAAATGTCGTGTAATCGGATTGGATTCTCAACGACAAATGAAATGGCCTCAGAGAGCTTTAGTGAAGTGTACTTCATTTAATTAATTAAATTCACTAATTTCATGGTCTGCTTGACCATTTAATACATTACAATTAATTAAGGTTTTTAGTTGAGATGAAAATGGATCGAGGTCACGATAGCTCAAGTGGTAGAGCAGTGGTGTATCTAGCCAAAGATCGTTGGTTCGAATCCCGCTCGTGCCATTGACTTTTTTTTCATCTCAACTAAAAACCTTAATTAAGTGTTGAATAATAATTTTTAGAAACAACACCTTTTTATATACAACATTTGAAAAATCCAGGGTGTTCCAGAAGCATCAGTTCCTGGTAATGAAGGACCCCAGTATCAAAAATGAAATCTCTAGGAAACAGATCAACCAATCGAAGTCCCGTCAAATTATTTATCATTTATCATACCTATTTTTCTGACATGTGCAAAAATGAACATAGAATAAATAAAAAAATAACAAACTTTCGTTTTCAGTACTCATTGTTCTTAGTTTTTTTAATTTTATTTATTCATATTATGTGTAACCGGTAATGGGAATATTTAATATAAAGGGATTGTGAAAATATTGTTTAAATGGATTTAACATTGTAAGTAGGATAAGAAAGTGTCGGCAAAAGGGGGACCTAGGTGCTGTGTCAGCAACCCGACCTCGGGTGAACGGAAACAATAGGGTTAGTAGACGCGGAGCAGTCAGAGGAAGCAGTTTGATATAAAATTTGTGTAATGTGGTGAACTTTCCTCTTGGCAGGAATAATCGGTGAGTGCCTGTTTTGATCAGTGTTGTGGCGCAAATTATTTCATGTGTAATTTCATAGTAGTTTCTATCCAGCTTTCCCCCCTTTTGCCAAGATTTTTTTATATTTTTTTGGGGGGGGGGTTTGGGGAGTCCCCATTACCCATGGCCCTTTGCCAAGATTTAAATATATATATAAGTAGTTCGTAAGTAGAGGCTTAGTTGTAAACCGCATAATATTGTTAAATAAAGTAGCCTTAGGATATTAGCGAGATTCATTTAGCCCCAAAATCATTCTTCTAGGATCCCGGGGTACAATTTGGTGTCAGGTGTGGGGTATCCCTTCCGGCGCGTTCCGGAGCGGGGTCGGTTCCTCCAGCTCCCTACTGAACAGCACCCAGATTCAGTTGGGTGTGAAGCCCGTGCTCGCATGTGGGATCGATCTATACGCCATCACCACGAAAGGTACCCACCTATCCCAGTCTGTCCCATCTTGAACCACAAAATAGGAGATAGAGGTGATCAACGTTCAGTGAAGGCGTTCGATTATTCCATTGGACTCCGGGTGGTACGGCGTTGTTTGTAGCTTCCGCACTCTCAGTAGCTGACATGTCTCCTTAAAAAGCTGGGACACAAAATTTCGCCCCTGATCGGTCAAAAGTCGTTGGGGCGCACCATGGCGGGTCACGATGTCTTTTACGAAGGCACCTGCAACCTCCTCTGCAGTTTGGCCCCTCAAAGGAATGGCTTCGGCGTTTCTAGAGAAATGATCTATAAAGGTCAGCAGATATCGATGTCCTTCTTTGGTCGTGCTCAACGGGCCCACAATGTCTAGCGCGACCTGTTCGAATGGCCGGGTGGGTAAGAATGGTTGTTCGAGCAGAACTCGTAAACCAGTTGGCGACTTCCTTTTTGCACAAGATAAACACCCCTTCACAGCTTCTTCGATGTCACCTCCAGGCCAATATTACCTGGCGGCTACCTTAGCTTCAGTTCGTTCGATTCCTGGGTGCCCCGCCCAGGGTGTAGTGTGACATTCAATCAGGATATCTCTCACCCGGCTGGTCGGCACAAATAGTCGCCAATGTTCCCCATGTCTGTGGTTTTTCTCAACTCGGTACCAGAGTTCTCGGGTTCCTGTTGGGCCTCGTCATTCTGAGCAGCCACGATTCACTCTTCTTTCTCCTGTTCCCGTCGGAATGCGGTTCTTTCTGTGGTGAGGCTGTTATATTTCACGACCTGGGCTACCGCTCGACTCAAGGCGTCCGCGTTACGATGATCTTTCCCCAGTTTATGCTCTACTTTGTATTTGAACTCAGACAGTCGGAGAGCCCAGCGCGTCAGCCGGGAAGACGGGTCTCGAAGGCTGAGCATTCACCTGAGAGCCGCGTGATCGGTGATCAGTGAACTGGCGCCCCAGAAGATAACAGCGGAACAATTTCGTAGCCCATATTACTGCGAGTAGTTCTTGCTCCATGACTGAATAATGAGCTTCTGATTTGTTTAATTGGCGACTGGCAAACGCGATTGGCCGTTCTCGGCCGTGCTGTTGTTGAGACAAGACAGCGCCCAACAACATGCCAGTTGCGTCCGTGGCCAGTATAAATGGCTTGTTGAAGTCGGGATACGCCAGTACGGTATCGGACGTCAGTGCGTAGCCTTAGGATATTAGCGAGATTCATTTAGCCCCAGAATCATTCTTCCAGGATCCCAGGGTTACATATGTATATGTTTGTAATTATTAATTTTTCTGAAAGTTTGCAGCAGACCCACAAGTTTTGGTAACCTATATTAAAATTGGATCACATGAAACAGTTTGTAATTTCTTTTTCCCCCTTCACAACGATTACATGCTTCTTTATGCATTATATGCATCTATGCCAGGTGGTCGCAGTAACTGCGTCAGTATTGTCCTTATATTCACAGTTTTTTCTTTATATAAATCAGCTGTTTTTGTTACTGAAATCTCTTTGGTTAAGCCGAGTTCGTTTAAAAAGCGTTTTACTTTATTCAATATTTCAGGGTGCTGTCGAAAGAGCAGGGATTCCAAAGGAATGCGTCGATGAAGTTTTCATGGGACATGTATGCCAGGGCGGTACCGGTCAAGCGCCAGCCAGACAGTCTTCACTGTTTGCAGGTCTCAATGAGAGCGTCATTTGCACGACAGTCAACAAAGTGTGCTCTTCCGGAATGAAAGCCGTGATGCTCGGTGCGCAAAGCCTTATGCTCTCGCATCAAAGAGTCATCATCGCCGGTGGCATGGAATCTATGTCCAACACACCTTATTACATGACAAGGGGCGACACACCCTACGGAAGCGTCCAACTCCAGGTGAATACAAACTGACGAGATGTTTTAATAACGGTTTTAACATATTTTTTTTTTTAATTTTTGAAGGATGCGATCCTCGTCGACGGTCTTATGGACGTGTACAACAAATTCCACATGGGCAACTGTGCAGAAAATACAGCGATGGTTCAAAAGATAAGCAGAGAAGAACAGGACAACTTTGCGATGAATAGTTATAAAAGGAGTGCAGAAGCGGTTAAATCGGGGGTGTTAGCTCAAGAAATTGTACCTGTCAATATTCCCCAGAAAAAAGGTCAGGAAAATTATCAAAATATATCACTTTTTTAAATTAATTTAGTTTGAATAAAATAGTTAAAAGTTAGTTTGAAATTGAAATATTCTAATAATCTTATTAAACTTGGTTGGAAAACTAAAAAAAATAATGAAACAAAATAATTTTAATTTTTTTAAAAGTAAAAGTACTCATTTCATATCGTTGCAATGAAGAATTTAGCAATAATTTTGCTTCTTTGATCTATGCGTTCTTCTGCATATTCTGCATCTTGACCTGCATTTCTGATCATCCTGGTTAGTCTATGCTCAGTGCATTTATTAATCTTATAAACAGGATCCAACCTACAAAACAACACACAGGCAGTGAGATAGTGATGTTTTATGTTTACATACGTTGTATTTTGAAGGAGTGGAGAAGGAAGTAGGGGTAGAAAGACTTTATATGAGGAGTCGGCTTCTTTGAGGTGAACGGAACCGCCAATGGGAAAGAATGGGTAATGTTAGGCCTGATTATCCTTTCAGGATTATGTAGACGGGGATAATTATGGAAAAGGAAAGCCAAATACTATGTAGAAATGTTTGATGCGAGGAATGTAATGATTGTTTTATATTATTTGGAGATCGTGAGGTGCAGTCTGGTGTGGCGTAGGTTTTAGAAAATAATTTTCTTTATAGTGCCAACGTTTCCACCTTTATTGAGATTATCTTCAGGGCTCAAAGTGTTTGTTTTCCGTGTAGATGTGTCATTCTTCTCTGTTGTGTTGAGAGTGCTGACACACAAAAATGACAAATATATACAAACACTTTGAGCCCTGTAGATGATCTCAATAAAGGTGGAAACATTGGCACGATAAAGAAAATGTTTTTCTGACCAGACCACACCTCACGATCTCCAAATAATCATTGTCTAACAGTCATTAAACACCTTGTTTTATATGTTATGTTTTGTGTGATGTGATGATTTATGTATGTTATCGATATTGCATTTTTTTTTTTTTTTTAACAAAAAATTAATTCGAATTGCACATCTCTAGTCTGACCAAAAAAATTAGAAAGCTCCTACAAGTTCAAACAGTTGAGACAATATTGAATTTAGAGGCCCCACGGATAGTTTATTTTTCATTATGTCAATCATTGCTTATCTATTGCTTATCTTGAGGCTCTCTCAATTGGCGTGTTTCCTGTGGCAAGCCATAAGCTCAAGATGGGACCACACCTTGTAGTCCCGAGGGCCAATCTGAAGCCTTAATGAATTCTGGAACATTCTCTTCTAGCCACTGCTGAGTTGTTCGGGCCTTGTGCGCAGGAGCTGAGTCCTGTTGGAAGACCCAATGAGTTCCGGAAAAAAGAGTAGTATTTAAGGGCTTTACTACTTTCTCAAGGATGTCTTCTTGGTAATTTTTCGCCCTTGTTTTGACTCCTTGCTCACAAAAATGGAGTTTTGTGGTGCCATCGTAGCAAACTTCCCACCACACCAAGTGGGGATTTGAATCCTCTGGACTACAAGGTGTGGTCCCATCTTGAGCTTATGGCTTGCCACAGGAAACACGCCAATTTAGAGAGCCTCAAGTCCGCTCTGCTAAAAGCAGTTGAGAAATTTCCTCAAGGCGTGTTGCGTACTGCCATAGATGATTGGCCCCGAAGACTAAAAGCTTGTGTGAAGGCAAAAGGTGGTTATTTCGAGTAATATTATTTTATTTCAATCTTAAAAAATATTGGATTTTTTAAAATAATCAAGTTTCTCTATTCCCTAATGGCCCTTTTTCTTGTAACAGAACTTATGGCAGGACTCTGTACACAGAAAACAAACACTGAGTGAATACGAATACTTTGATTGAATCTAAAATTTCTAGCATAGTATAAATTCATTTTTTCACATCCTACATGTATTTGTATAATTTAAACAATGTTTATAAATCCCAGGCCCTGAAGATGATCTCAGTAAAGACCGAAACATTGGCACGATAAAGAAAATGTTTTTTTAAACTTACATCACACAAGCCGTATCTCACGATCTCCAAATAATTAACTAACAGTCACTAAACACCACACATTTTTTCATTATTTTAATTTCTTTTTTAGGAAAGCCTGATGTAACCGTTTCTGAAGATGAAGAATATAAGCGAGTTAACTTCGATAAATTTGGTACACTTGCGACCGTCTTCAAGGTTGGTCAATTTTACCCCGAAATTAACACACAATCGTGTTTATCGCTCGTCTATTTGTAGAAAGAAGGCGGCACTGTCACTGCAGGGAATGCGTCCACCTTGAACGACGGCGGTGCAGCTATGGTTTTAATGAGCGAACAGGCCGTAAAAGAATTCGGAGTCAAGCCTCTTGCACGAATCGTAGGATTTGCTGACGGGGCGACAAAACCGATCGATTTTCCCATCGCCCCTGCTTTTGCCATTCCAAAGGTGAAAAAAAAAAAAGATTAATTCCAGTACTTAAAATAACTTTTGATTTATTTTAGTTATTAAAAAACACCGGCGTTAATAAAGATGATGTCGCTCTTTGGGAGATAAACGAGGCTTTCAGTGTTGTAGTCGTCGCTAATATGAAACTCTTAGATTTGGACCCTTCAAAAGTCAACGTCCACGGAGGAGCAGTCAGTTTAGGACATCCCATTGGGTAAGTTTCAATAAAAACACAATTTTAAAAATGTTTTAATTTAAAAATTCGAATTTAGAATGTCCGGAGCACGAATCGTCCTACATTTATGCTACGCTTTGAAACCCGGACAAAAAGGAGTCGCTTCGATTTGCAATGGTGGCGGTGGTGCTTCGTCGATCATGGTTGAGAAATTATAAATTACAGATATAAAAAAACTGTAAAGACTGTTGATTCAGGAGTGATGTGCCACAATTTTATCGGATTATATTTTTTATAAAAGTGTTATTTTTAAAAATACATTTATGCTGGTTATGTTTCTCATCTGTATAATCCAATTTTTGGAATTAACCTAAACATATATAAGAAATTGTGTTAAAAAGCATACACTACTACTGGCTATGAAAGAAAATTCTCAACTTGTGTCAAATATCGTACTTTTTTTTCAACTAAGAGAACATATGAACCCTCACGGTGGAAGTATGCCGGGCGGGCTGCTGGTTTCGAACTCAAGAACTTCACCTTACAGCGATGAGCGCCGCATGGCTAAACCGTTGTGATCACCAACACCACCAATTTTCTTTAACTCCCAAAATATCTTACACTATTCTACGGTACTTATAACAGCCAGCTCCTTCCTGCCATTCTAGGTATCACATTCCAAGGTACTTAATAGTTCTCAGGTTGGGAATAACCACTCTTCTTTTCACTCCTTAGATACTGTATACTCACCCCCAGGTACTTAATATCACTTGAGATGAGGATAGCCTGGTTCCATCTCCTTCCTCTCTTGCTAGCTAGTAACTTACTTTTATTCTACAAATACTCATCTTAGTATGAATAAAATTCCTCGGGATTAGCAACCTATCCCTAAAAATCTTACAGTATTACAGGTACGGTACTTAAAATTTTCGAGGATAAAGGCCATCTCTTTTTTACCCTCATGGTATTGCACATTCATTGCAAGGTTTTTACTTAAAATTCCTTGATACAGGGACTAACTTCTTTTCACTCCCAACATATTTTCACCCCTCTTGCATACTTAATCAATCCAGAGTTGAAGGCCTCTTCTTTTCACTTCCTGATACTTTGCACTCATTCCATGTTGCTTAACATGGCAGCCAAATATTTTTCCCTCTCAGTATGAAACATCCATCTTGGTTAATATTCTTCAAGGCGGGGATGGACTTTCCTGTCATGATAATAAATTGCTTGTGCTCCTAAGGTATACTCAATTCAGGGTAGTTAGCATTCCTTGGGATGGTACCTAGCCTTCCTTTCACCCCCAAGGGTACTTGATGATGGCTGAATGAGAAGGATGAAGGCAATCTTATTCCTTCCATTTCTCAAAGACTACACTTATCCCGTGATGCTTATTAACCTTAAGGACACTTATTCCAAAGTACTTAATATTATGTGGTGAGTAGTGACCGTTAATCGATAATTATTCAGAAATAGTGAGATTGGGAGGGCACTCTCAACACGACACGCAAGAATGGCACAATTACACAGAAGACAAAACACTTTGATTCATCAGCAACACCGAAACAAGGAAGATCTGATCCGTTCATTCATACTTCATTCGTAAAAGATTTTTGTCGAACAAAACGCGCACAATATGGTGAAAAGCGAAAAAGCACGGACCCAAAAATTTCATTTTTGCCAGAAAAGGTCTATTAATAATCTTGATAAACATTTGTAATAATCCCAGGCCCTGAAGATGATCTCAATAAAGATCGAAACGTTGGCACGATAAAGAAAATGTTTTTCTGAAACCTACATTACACCAGACCGCATATCATGATTTCTGAATAAGTACTTAATATTCTTCATTGTAGGGACGAAATCGTTCCTTTCATGCTAATAAATTACTTGCACTCTAGATATCTATACTAAACCCAGGTTGCTTAGTATGCCATATATATATATTTTTTTTCCTCTCAAAATTAGCTTCTTAAATTTTAATAAAATAATACAAACGAGTATTTTTGATGCATTTTGTATACTTTAAACTTATCAAACATATCATTACAATTACAACTGTTGGCTGTTCCTATCAATACTGTAACAATTTTTTTTTTTTTTTTTTTTTTAAGACGCTACTTTAGGGCTTGAAACCACTATAACGATTCTATAGATTGGTGGAGCGGTTGCAAAGTTTTCAGTATTTTTCTCATTAAAAAAAAAAAGATTTGAAAACTGTTTTCAAAAATTTGTATTCAGGTGTTTTTTTGGAGACACTAAAAACTAAAGAACGACATTCAATTTTGTTTACATTTCTTTTTTTTAACTATATAATAGCAGTCATCAGCCTCCAACACACTGAGGGTATTGGATACTCAATATTCTGCCATCTGCCCTCCTACTTTCTCATTCATACAAGCAAACATGATATCATCTATATAAACAATAAGTACATACGTACACACTGTAGTGGTACACAATAATAATGTATATTTCCAGATGGGAAAATACACCCAATTTCCCTTAAAAATCAGGACAGGGGACACAACAACCACTCTTGGGCCCAAGTACTGCCTTTGTCAGGTGCCATACCTGCTCGCTCCCTGTAAGGTGCCAAAGTGTGGCAAATCCTGCACAGGATTTGCCCCAAAAACGTGTATGTGTATTGGGTATGGCCTCCATCAAACGGGTGGGTGAGCATTACCCCGTTTTTCAAACCTTCGGTGGGCCATTGGCTAAGCTTGGGCAACCTGGCTCATTGATGCTGCCAATGTTATTTTATGTCCTTTACTGCTTGTACAGCATCACCAGGCCAGATCGTGGTATACCTCTGTCTGGAGGGCAAATGTCTTTCATGCCTCATCTACACACTGATGACAACTACCATCTTTTTTTTCAGAAGTGCTCCACAGTACATTTATCTAATAAGAACTCGGCAAGTTTGCAGAGAATCTGTTATGAATAGCCGAAACGCGCTCAAAGAATCGGTACAGACAAGATGGGGATCATGAATCACCCTGCCAAATCGTGAACTGCTCTGCCGAGTACACACTGAAGTGGACGTGCTTCTGCTATACATTGGCAAATCATGATTGAGGTTAACATTGATACAGTTAACAATTTACTAGTTTTCGTGGACTGCTTGACCAATTAATATCTTTCAATTAATTAAGGTTTTTAGTTGAGATAAAAAGTCAGTGTCATGAGCGGGATTCGAACCCACGCCGCTGCTCTACCACTTGAGCTATCGTGACTTCGATCCACTTGGACACTAACTTCCTATTCTCAACCCAACTTTTGAATTTTCCCTCCTTTTTGGCATTTTTCAAACGTTCCGCTCATGCCATTGACTTTTTTATCTCAACTAAAAACCTTAATTAATTGACAGTTAACAATTTACATTTATAGTAGAAACTAATTTCATTCTTTTTAAGATGTTGCTGAAAAACAAAACAATTGTTATATATTAAAAAAAGTATATTTAATTTTCATTACACAATGTCAAACTTTGTAATATAAAGCAATTGAGATTCATCATTTTTAATAATTAAAGAATCAATTACATTCTTTTGGCATTGATATGTAAACACATTTTTCTTTAAAATCTTATAAATAAACAAAAACAAATATAAAAGAGTTAAGAAAAAAAAGTATATTTAAATTTTGATTACACAAAGTAAAAACTTTTTAAAACATAAAAGCATAATATAAATACAATAATACTATCGACAATGAAATCCTGTTAGTTCTCTCATTTTTCGACGAAGATGTTGAAATAAAACATTCTTTTAACATTGCGATGTTAACTTTTTAAGTATAATTTTGTACTAATTCTACAAAAGTCAGTGCCTTTAGAACCAAAATTTGTACAGATAAAATGTGTAAAAATTGTAGAAATATTTCTTTTTTTAATCGTTGAATATTTATTTTAGTGCATTATTTTTACGACTGGAATTTGAAAAAAAAAAAAAAAAAAAAAAAAAAAAAAGGCCTTTGGTCTCTGTAATCTCTGTATATGTACAAGTGACAATTCTTCGTGTGGAATCAATTGGTTTGTGCATGTTTTTTTTGTTTTTTTAATTTTTAATGACAAGGTTACATTTTATTCTAATTTCACTTAGTTAAAAAATAAAAAATTGAGTGAAGAATTTCAATAAATTTTCAAGCTTTATAAAAAAACTATAAATGCAGAACACACTCTAAACAAAGAAATAATTAGAGAATCTTTTCATTTTATTTATTTATTTTTAAATTCCGACATCACTGATAAATACAACTGATTTATTTTTAAAAAAAAGAAAAAAGAAAAGCTAAATAGTTAACTACCTACGATCCATTAAAAAACAAGTTTCTCTCACTCTTTCTTTCTCATTATACAAAAATACAAGGAACATTTGAAAGAATAAATTGCTAGAAGTCTTAGTTTGATGATTGTAAAAGCAATGAGGTTATTTTACTACTAACAAGAATCACTAAATGAAGATAATAAATCTGATCTGATAGAAAGAGTTCATTTTTGTTATTTACTTCACCAACTACAACAACCTGTTCTCCAGGATACTTCCAATAGGAATTTTTAAAAAATAAAAATTAAAAGTTAAGAAAATTAAAACAGTCTTTGGAAGTTTTTTTTTTTTACATTTCATTTTTTTACATTTAATGCATTCCATTTAAAATAAAACTTTAAAATGACCATTATAGTTATGAAAATTTCAACGTTTTTTAGACGAGTCAACATAATTATATTTAAGAAAGCCCTCATCCACAGGCCAAAATGAGATTTTTGGTTTTTTAGTATCTTAGGATGAATATGAACAAAACTTTTTTTTTTAAACTGCAGTACCAATCATTCAAAAAATGTTAGCAGACCCAGCACCGCTATGGCATGAGGGGTGGGTTTTTTAAATGTTCTTTCTCCTAGTGCCAAGCAAGTCCATCTTGCAAAAAAAAGGTTGTACGAATCACGGTCCAAAAATTAATAATTAATAGCAAAAAGGTTCTTAAATGAAATAAATTAGCTTTCAAATAACAATTAAAACAAATAAAAGAAGTCAAAGAAATCTTATCAGTTCCTGGCTGTAGAGAAATCCCTAGAACCATAGAGGTATGAGGATGAGGGTTCAGTTGGGTCTGCTGGCACTTTACAAATTAATACATAACTTGGGGGGGGGGGGCTGCGGTAGCCGAGTGGTTAAGGCGTCAAGACTCTCAGCTAGTAGATCCTGCAGTTGTGGGTTCGATTCCCACCACTGATCTGGACTTTTTTTTAATGCCTAAGATGATGGTGGCCGCAATTGAAAGAAAGTGGCGTGGCACTCATCAGGTCTGGGGCGGGATCGGACCTGAGCGACCCTGAATTTGGTCCCAACCCCCTTGAAAAATGAGTCTCTTTGATGGAAGAATGCTGCACACTGAGGGGCTCAAAGGCACACGTGACGTGTATTGCAAGCCCCCCCCCCCCAAAAAAAAAAAAAATTGGAGCCAAGAATGTAGAACAATGAGCTGTAGTATACATCTGCAGAGCTCAGAAGGAACTCCTCCAGTTCTTATCCATAGTAAGAAAAAAAAGGGATAATGATTCATAATGAGTATGAATTGTAAGGTTTAGATTTTTTTTTAAACATAGCATTATTTAAAAGTTTCAATTCTGACTCATTCCTTTTAATATTTTCAATCGATACCGGCTTAATTATAAAAACGAGCGGCATACAAAAATTACCACAATTCCTTAAATAAATCCCTCTTCAACATAACAAGACTAGTTGCAAAAACTGGCATTCATATTTGAAAAAAAAAAAAAATACAGTCATAACTTCTATTGTATAAAATAACAGTTGAATGTGTTAAAAGTGTTGAGGTTCGCCCGCTTTAATATCACATCAACAACATTTATCACAACAGTTTACCTTAAAAATTAAAAAAAAAAAAAAGTAATAAAAAGCTAATGAGGACTCAATCAATTATTGTCAATTTATTAACTTTTTAAAAAAATATTTAGGTTATTTTTCTACTTCTTTACTTGAGAAATGGATGAATTCAAAGATTATTTTGTCATAATATATAAATGTAATTTTATAAACTTATAAACACTCACGTGTGGTGAAAATTTTCATGTTCAACTAGTGTACATAAAATATAAATCACACAAATTTTCAGTCGACTTGTTTGAACCTTTGTTAAGTATTTCAGTGAGGAATACTATCAAAGAGTGTTTAGCAATACTATCTTATTATCTATAAAACATTAAAAAAAAAAAACTATCTGATTTTACCATAAAAAAAAGGACATTTACAGATCTGAAAACATAGCTTAAGGTAGAAGGCTTAAACTCCTGTCTTACCATATTAAAAAACCCTGTTTGTTTTACCTTTATAAAAAAAAAAAAAAAAAAAATAATAACAATAAAAAGGAGTAGACAATAAAATTAAATTGCTTCGATAAAAAGGAAAGGCCACAGAAGAAATGGAATCCCATTGTTTAGCATTGTGGAAGTACGAAGGTTGGTTTTTAAATCGTAAGAAAAATTAAAAACTTGGTATGGTTATGTTGCTCACGATCCATGGGAAAACCATACTTGCAACGATCCCCGAGGCGATGCCAGTTATGAGACTCGCAGCGCCGAACATGCTTGCCACATAAGAATGTTCTGCGCCTACAGACCTAAAAAAAAATAATTAAAGAATATTTTCTTGACATTGATGGTTGTAAATAGTGAGAAATGCACAGTCACGATCTCCTCTTGCCATTTTAACATTAACATGTTGACTGCATCATGCTAACATTCCTGGGTGAGTTGGACACTTGATCTGAGTCTTTTTTGTACCTACATAATTCTGTTCTGAATGCCAAGGGGTGCCTTAGAAAGGGAAAACTGGCTATAGTCGTTTCATTTTTTCCCCCAACTACACTGCCCATTAAAAAAGATACCTTTTTAAATGTTTTCCTAGCTTCAATCATTCACCAATAAATTCAAAAATTCAGTAACATGTTAATTTTTACAAAAACTTCAAATTGAGCTGTGGAACCAGGAAATCATATTTTGAGCGGCGCCCTATAGTAATCAATAGAAAATTTTAATAAACTTTCAATTGGTCTCCTTCCACTTTGCCCGATTTCTCAACCGTTTTCGAGTTATTCGCAATTTTTGGGCAAAAAACATTTTTTTTACACTCATGGAAAAAACCATTCACTCCCTCTCCTGATTTTACTATATATAAATTTACTGTTCCAATATTTCATTCGAACAGTAGAACAGCCGCAACACCTTTGAAATGGGAAGGAAAAGTTGAATTTCCGTGATGAGGTAAAAAAATGGTTATCGATAGCAGAATCATTCTGCATCCCAAAAGTTCAAAGTAAGAAAAAGTAAGGGTTGTCGATTCCCTGTTCATGTTTTTGAATAAGTCCTCAGAACAAAAATTGTAGAGCTAAAATTTGTGAAAACATGACTGTTCAAAATTTATGCGTTCTCAGAAATCGGGAGAGATAGTGATTGTTTTTTAATTAAAATTTCCCATCAATTGCTATAGGGCGCTGCTCGAAGGACGATTTCCTGGCTTCCCAGCCCAATTTGAACTTTTCGTAAAAAGTGCAAAAATTAACGTTTCCGAATTTTTGAATTTACTGATGAATGACTGAAGCTAAGAAAACATTTAAAAAGCCATCTTGTTCAGGGCAGGTCTGAGACTTAAAAGGCTGATATGCATTTTCAAAGTTGGCCATTTTTCATGCAAAACTCAGGTGGTCACTTTTTTTTTATTGAGCAATGTAGAAGGGATTTTTTATTTATTTATTTTTTATTTGTGAAAACCACTTAATTTTCTTTTCTGTGTATGTGTTTAGTATTTTAATTAATTATTTACCCATTTTATATGATTATGTAAAAAAAAAGAAAAATTGTAGGAAGTTAAAACGACTGCTATTCACAGTTGATGGTCTGCAAAGTTCCATGCTGAATTCCTTTGGGTCCGTATTTACTCGCGGGTTTGTAAACTATTTAAAAAATATTTCGGCATTGTGAGGAACTAGATACTTCTTTTTTTCAGTTCCCTGTAAAGCTCAAAGGCATATGAGTAACTTCGCCTGTAAATATCGACGAATAAGTTATCCAGTTTCACGGGTTCAACAAGAGTTCCTCACTGAAGATGGCGCAATGCCAAAACGCATTTGAACAGTTCAACATACCCACGAATGAAGCTGGATGGTTAGGGATGGATAAATAAATGTTCTCTGGGTTGCCTATTTCATTTACTTAGCACTGTTATTGGAGGGGGGCACAGTAATTTATATTATCTAGATAAAAGTAAATTTAAAAAATCATTATTTTAAAGTATTAGAGAGCTAATTCATGTTATAAATTGGGTTCCTCTGTGCCAAAATGGTCAAGCTTAGGCCACAGTCAACATGTTAAATTGATTATCTGATAGACCAGAAGGCAAATCAGACAATCAAATGCAATCAACTTTAAATAATATATAATTTAAATAATATAATACACACCCTGGGCAATACATCATTGCAACTGCAGAAAAGTAACCGTTGGATATTCCCAAAATAATACCTAGTGACAAATAAGCCCAGTCGTTATTTATAACCACGGGAATGCTCCTTTCCACACCAAGCGGGCGGTAGTTGCACAATAGGAACAATGGGATCAACATGTATCTCAAAACAACTGGAATCCAAAGTCGTTTCGGTCCTGGCTAAAAAAAAAAAAGAAACCAGCAATCATATTATTCTATGTGTTATTGAGATCGGTAATTATAATTTTTAGACATTATAACTATAATGCCAGATTTGAAAATCAATTACACAAAATTAATTATTGCAATAAAGATTTTATTGATTATTAAAAATAATGTGTGGTGTTTAGTGACGGTTAGCCAATGATTATTTGGAGATCGTGAGGTGTGGTCTGGTGTGGTTTGGTAGGTTTCAGAAAAACATTTTCTTTATCGTGCCAACATTTCGATATTCATTGAGATCATCTTCAGGGCCTGGGATTTATAAACATTGTTTAAATTTTACAAATACATGTAGGATGTGCAAAAAATGAATTTATGCAAGAAAATTTTAGATTCAATCAAAGTATTTGTACTCACTCAAAGTGTTTGTTTTCTAGCTATTAATTTATGCAATGCTAGAAAATTTTAGATTAAAAAAATTAATTTATACAATGCTAGAAAATTTTAGATTCAATCAAAGTATTTGTACTCTCTCAGTGTTTGTTTTCTGTGTAGATTTTAGATTTAAAAAAAAATGCTAGAATATTTTAAATTTAAAAAAAAATTAATTTATACAATGCTAGAGAACTTTAGATTTAAAAAAAAAAATTATGCAATGCTAGAAAATTTTAGATTAAAAAAATGAATATATACAATGCTAGAAAATTTTAGACTCAATCAAAGTATTTGTACTCTCTCAGTGTTTGTTTTCTGTGTAGATTTTAGATTTAAAAAAACGTATATACAATGCTAGAATATTTTAGATTTAAAAAAATTAATTTATACAATGCTAGAGAACTTTAGATTAAAAAAAAAAATATGCAATGCTAGAAATTTTTAGATTAGAAAAATGAATTTATACAATGCTAGAAAATTTTAGATTCAATCAAAGTATTTGTACTCTCTCAGTGTTTGTTTTCTGTGTAGATTTTAGATTTAAAAAAAAAAAAAGTATATACAATGCTAGAATATTTTAGATTTTAAAAAAATTAATTTATACAATGCTAGAGAACTTTAGATTTAAAAAAAAAATTATGCAATGCTAGAAAATTTTAGATTGAAAAAATGAATTTATACAATGCTAGAAAATTTTAGACTCAATCAAAGTATTTGTACTCACTCAGTGTTTGTTTTCTGTGTAGATTTTAGATTAAAAAAAAAAAAAATACAATGCTAGAATATTTTAGATTAAAAAAAATAATAATAATTTATCATAATTTATGCAATGCTAGAAAATTTTAGATTTTAGATTAAAAAAATGAATTTATACAATGCTAGAAAATTTTAGACTCAATCAAAGTATTTGTACTCTCTCAGTGTTTGTTTTCTGTGTAGATTTTAGATTAAAAAAAGCGTATATACAATGCTAGAATATTTTAGATTTAAACCTCTTGAACCAACGAACAGTGGTAGGACTATTAAATATTGATCGGTAGGATGCTCCTCCTTTACTCCTGTTATACCAGGCAATCCATTTGTTGTTCCACACGGAGCTCAGCAAACGCTTGGCATCCAGTCTTGGAAGCCTGATGAACCGTTTCATTTCCTTTTATGCTAATGTGTGCTCTACTCCAGCAGAAGATGACAGTTTTGTTTGCTACTCTTTAGGTCATGTGTCTTCTTTATTAATTCACTCAAAATATAGTCACTTTTTGAATTTGTACTGAAGTTTTCAATTTGTGCTATGGTGCTTTTGCTGTCCGTGATAAGGCAAAATGTAGAACTGTCTACTTTACTTAAGTGGTCTAGAGCTTTAATTATGGCATATAGTTCGGCAGTGAAAATCGAAACTGTGTCTGGCAACCGGTAGAGTTCGGAAATATTAAGCACAGTGCTAGAAAATTTTAGATTCAATCGAAGTATTTGTACTCTCTCAAAGTGTTTGTTTTCCGTGTAGATGTGTCATTCTTGCATGTCGTGTTGAGAGTGCCAGTGACACCAATATCTCACTGGCACTCTCAACACGACACGCAAGAATGGCACAATTACGCAGAAAGCAAACACTTTGAGTGAGTAGAAATAATTTGATTGAATATAAAAAAGTAAATATTTTTTGCATTGTATAAATTCACTTTTTGTCCACATCTTACATGTATTTGTTAAATTTAAACAATGTTTGTAAATCCCAGGCTCTGAAGATGATCTCAATAAATATCGAAACGTTGGCACGATAAAGAAAATGTTTTTCTGAAACCTATGTCACACCAGACTGCACCTCATGATCTCCAAAAGATTATTCTATGTTAAATCAACTTGTACAGTGTATTTACCCAACAGCCGAACCTCGGCAAGAAACTCCCGACCATGGCAGAAAAATTGAACGTCAAAAAGCACATAACATCGACATAATACTTATCCGGAATAATAAAATCCGGGTCAGATTTTTTAACATCTGAAACAAATTAACATTAGATATGTTTTTATCTCATCTATTGTATTTTATTGTAAAAAAAATTCTGTTATATTTTTATATAAATTGAAATATTGCTGGTTTATAATGACAACCTGAATCAACAGTCGGGAATAGAGCGAGGGTCAAGAAGAAGACCAAAAAAACATTCAGGCACTGGGGATACGCCTGTTTGAATATTTTCCAGTAAGGGATACTCTCTGTTTTGTTCGAGTTGTCCTTAAGCCGCTTCTGGATCTCTTTCTGACTCATCAGCTCATGATATTTATAAAAACGCTGGGGAAAAAAAATATATATATAAAACAAAAAAGCTGTAAAAATTATAAAACAAGTTCTGACTTACGTTTAGAGGAAGAGCGAAATATGTATCGAAACAAAGGGACAGGATGAAAAGTGCGCAAATGAAATAATACATCGCGGCTGTTTTTGCGTTCGGAGCGATCGCGATCGATATTATACTCATGACCGAAGACAAAGTGCCGCTGACATTCTGCAAAATAATTAAATCATAAATATCAAAAGTTTCAACACAGAATTATTCAACATACCGAGCCTAAAACAATTACGCCTGTGTACTTTGGAGGCAGCTTAGCCGCCAGACCGTAAAACGTGTTCTGGTAAATACCGTTCGCCACTGAAAAACAAACTTTTATCACCTGAACAAAACACATTTCAAATATGAGCTTACTGTTCAGTACGACTACGATTCCCATCGTACTCCAAAAGAAAATGCCGACCCATGATGAAGTGTCGATCATGGCGAAAACGACAGTCACGATAAATGCGATAACTTCGACGACAATACTCCATACAATTCTCGTAGTAAGTTTTCCTCTTTAAATATTAAACAATTTTTTTTAATGCATAAAAAATGTTTATTTTATTTTTTCAATTTTTTTTTTTCAAAGCATACCCAATTTGTATGAACACATTCAACCAGTTCACGATAAGGTTCGGCCCTTGAGCAGCGATTCCGACATAAGGGAGGAAATTCCCCGCATACGTCGTATTCTCCCCTGTATATTCATAGCTCAACTTATATTCAACGAAGTACTAAAAATTAAGCATATGAGATGAGTCGAATAAGAGACGGCAATATTTGAAAACAAGCAAAATTTAAGGTCTTTACATTTTTTGCATTTATGTACATATTCCATGGTAGGAGTGTCCCAATCCCATGAAGTAGTAAAATCAAATAAACAATATTAAACCTGAAAATATTGAAATATTACTTAAAAAGTAAATAAACCAATTAAAATAATTGACATACCGATCTTTGGGAGGATTTGTCTCGAGCTGGGCCTGCTCCATTGTGACCCCTTTGAAATTCAGCTCATCGTTGGTTAGATTCGTCTCCTCCCAGGCTGGAGTGAGTCTGACCGGCTCGGGCGCAAGAAAAGCCTGTTTTTCACCTGTCATAAAAAAAACAAAAACAAAACAATCAAGAATGTTTTTCATTCACTTAAGATATAGAAAGTCTGAAGGTAAACAGGATCAAAATGAAAAGACTGAGTAAACAACAAACAAAACAAAAGTTAAATCATTTTCCATAAACTTTTGCAAGTGGGCATTTTAGAAAGCCGGGACCATTTTATTATTTCAGTAAGCAATTTAGAAAATTGCCTAGCATGGAATATTTCAGAAAAAAAAATTAAATACAATTCAAAGAACTGGCTGATGACATAATAAATAAACAAACAGGTTTAACCCAAATGGATTAAATATTGATGTTTTGTTAATAAAACATCTCAAGTCAATCAAGTTTCAATCCTTTTTACAATTATTCATTCTCTCTTTACCTTCAATACCTAACACCTCGGTCTTTCAGGCAGAGGTCTGGGCCATCAATGTTTGCTGCAGAACACTCATGGATAACAAGATTAAGGGAAAAGATATTAAATTTTTTTCCGACAGTCAGGCTAGTCTTAAATCTTTACAAAAAGAGTTATCAACATCTAGGCTGGTAGAGGAAACCGTTGAACTCATTAATAGGATTCCTACCAGGTACGAGAATAGGGTAACCCTCATATGGATACCTGCTCATAAGGGGCACTATGGCAATGAGGAGGCGGACAGCCTGGCCAAAGAAGGATTAAATACTGTGTTTGTCGGGCCACAACCGGTATTACCCCACTATCTAAGCACAGCGAAAGAGAGTATAAGTTGCTGGGGCATGAAACAATTCCTTAAAGAATGGAATATGTCCCCGGATGCAGGCAATCGAAGGAGTTTCTGAAGGAAATCAAACCTAAAGAAGCGAAATGGTTACTCTCTAACTCTAGGAGGGGAATAAGGAGGTTGATAGGTATCCTAACGGGCCATTGCTCCTTGAGAAGACACCTCTTCATAATGGGTACTCTACCAGACCCCTTCTGCCGCTTCTGCGAAACAAAAGAAGAAACGGCTCGACACTACCTTGCAGAATGCGATAGGTATGCTAGGGAAAGATTTGATACTTTCGAAGGAAAGGACATAACCAAAACACTCCCCGGGATAAAATGGTCCACAATCCTGGGGTTTGTGAATAGGTCCAAAAGGTTTATGCAGGACTCGTGAGCCGACCAGGTCCCGGACCTTGTAGGGATGGGGTACGGGCCTACCTACGCTTTTAACCCCTTGGGTCCTGGTCGCCCGCCCTGCATAATATATATATACCTCACTACCACTTCATTTTTAGCCTTTCATTATGAACAATAAATAAAAAAATACACACACAAACATATTAATTATAAAATTAATTTTACGTTTTAATAACATACCTATTTTACCATTGGCAGATGTGTTTATTATATTAGCCTTTGAATGATCTGTGAGGAGTAGTTGTTCCTCGGGCATCACGTTGTGCCCTCTCTTATTACTCGGGGTGTTCATCCTGAAACATAAGCATTACAATTTATTAAATTTATTATTAGGTAAACAAATTTGATATGTAATTTGGGCTTCTTTCTGTGGTTGGGTGGTTTCTGATCCATCCTGGTCTGTTTTATTCAAACGGTTTCGATCTGCAGGGCAAATTTACACGTTTTGCTATCTTCAAGGATTTGTTTGATTTTGTTTAGCTTAGCGTGAATTACTCGTCAATTAAAGAAGAAAAGGGAAGAACGTTCAAGCTGGCGTGGAAAGTAAAGATTGGTCTCGGAATAGTCAGACATCTAGACCTCAACCACCGAGGCCAAATCTGTATCTTAAGTGCTTTGCAAAAATTTTAATTTTTGTCGTTTGTTTTTCTTGATAATAGCTCTATATTTATCCAGCATGGACAAGTTGATGGGAAATGGCAAATCACAGCCCTGATTACATAAAGGCGATAAAATAATCTATTTCCCATTCAAGCTGGATTTGAATATTGGCATATCCCATGAACCGCGGTGGCTAGTTAGGGCGTCCAACTCGTATTTACTATGTTAACGGTCTTGGGTTCAAAACACGGCATCTGACATGGCTTTTCAATTGAGAATAGCACGAAAGAAGTATTGTAAAGTGGTTTGACCCCTTATCCACAACACACTGGTAATTTGACGTTAAGCCCTCCTGTACGGCAAGAATTATTTTACTACTAACTGTACTGAACAGCTGTCGACAGTCAACCCAAAGGCCTTAAATAAAGCAATAACATTAAACCGACTGTTGAGATTAAACATCATTGAGTTAAAAACTATCAAACTTTGCCCAGTTCAATTTACAAGTACACAACCAACCACTGAAGATGGCAAAAAGCCAAAATGTTTCTGATAAACCAAACTACATTTAGACTGAATTCTATTTTGGCATTTTTTTGTCTCGTTTGAATATATAAGCAAAGAATTTAAAAAAGACCTATTAACAATTAATTTAGTCTTTTATAGATAAAATACATCATAAAAATTGAAATAAGTCTACCTCGTTGATTCAACCCTTTGTGTCTCGCTACCCAAATCAGAATGCACACTTGTATGCGCATTTATTTTGATTAAATTGAGTTTTTTTAATTTTACAGTGAGATTGTACGATTTATCTCCGTATTAAGGGTTTTAAATTAACGATATCTGATAAACAGTAACCTTGTGTAATCAATTTATATTTAATTATAGACACATTTCTCTGTATTTAAATTAATCTTGTAATTTTTTTAAGCAATCCATTAAGAAGATAAATGCCATTACTATAAATCTTAATTCATATCACTTCGCCTGAAGCTATCTAAATTGGAATATTTATAATGAATTCATTTATCGTATGCAATATCAAATGATAACTTACAATAAATTCACGACTTATTTCCCTTTGAAAGGAAAAAGCTGTGCAATGATTATAAATATATCTAGACACTTTATTTCAATTGGTCTTCACACAAATCCCATACGAATCGAGCCATTAGGTAGAAAAACTAATATTGGAAATCAGGTCGAGTGTTGTATTTGCGATAAAGCCTAGAGAGAAGGGAAAAAAAAGTAACGGTGTGAAACACTCACCATTTCATAAACGTCGCCTAAATGGAACACAGGCGAAGGATAAAAAAAATCTCTAGCAATTTAATTTAAATTTTTGAAACAGGACACCGCTATCTTAAAGCGAATAAATAAAACTTATCTACCCCATTGTAAATATTTTGCATTTAGAAAGATATGTTTTACAATTTTACAACATGCTTTAAATTTGTGCTAACAGTGAAAAAAAAATCGCTTCATGCGATCGTAAAACAAGGGGATTGTAAATGATAAAAAGAATTTTATTTGATCCACTTAGAATGACATCTCACTAAACACGATAATGCCCTAAAGACTTGATAACACTTTACAAAGCAGGATACAATCAAGGACTGTAGTGGACAATTCTATTGAATGTAAAATATAACAATCGCGTACGAAACTATACGATATCAAGATTTTGTCACAGATATAAAGACATTTATATAATTTCTACCCTTTCGTGACATAATTGACATGAAAAGACTTACCTTTTTATTTATGTTTGTTAAAAGTCCTATCATTTGCCCAAATCCAATGATCTTTCTCCTTCATGTGATCCTATTATGTAAGTGACACAAGAGACAGAAGGAAATTGATTTTTTAAAACAAATTAGTACTTTTGATTAATTCAAATATTCTCTTTCTTTGTTTAATATACAATATTTGTTCATTAACGACATCTCAAAATGCTTTGAATTCATAAAATATAAACTATTTGCTGATGACCTGAAATTTTTCAACGTGATAGATTCTAGTCTAGACTGATAATTTGCAATGTGGTATTAATAATCTTATTAATAGAAATTACTTGGTGCTCAATAGAAAGAAATGTTATTCCTTTAAATTTTATTTACTAAAAAATTCTATTAATTATTCTTATCGTATAAATGATGTGAAATTAAGTTCACTTGATAGTACAAAGGACTTAGGTGTTGTATTTCACCACAAACTTTAATTTAACTTACATATCAATGTGATAGTCAATAAAGAATTTAAACTATTGGGTTTTCTAAGGAGAAATACATCTGACTTCACTAACATAAGTTGTTTAAAAGTGTTTTATTTTTCTTTGGTTAGATCTGTACTTGAGTACAACTCCCAGAATGGTCACCCCAATATAAAAAATCAATTCATGACATTGAAAAAATGCAGAATAAAATCATAAAATACTGTACATTTAAAGTCCGTTTAACCATAGATGACACTGTTACTATTCCTGTGCTACAGACCAAATTTTCCATGTTATCTCTGGAAGCAAGAAGGAACACCAGTGACTTAACTTTCATTCTTCCTATTCAAAATTGTAACAACCAAGTTGACACCATATTGTTAAATAGAAATGTGTGGTGATTAGTGACCGTTTGTCGATAATTATTCGAAAATCGTGAGATGCGGTCTGGTGTGATGTAGGTTTCAGAAAAACATTTTATTTATTGTGCCAACGTTTCAAGCATTATTGAGATCTTCTTCAGGCCTGGGGTTGGATGATCTCATTCACTGGGATTTAAACATTGTTTAAATTTAACAAATACATGTAGGATGTGAAAAAAAATGAATTTATACAATACTAGAAAATTTTAGATTCAATCAAAGTATTTGTACTCACTCAAAGTGTTTGTTTTCCACTCGGACACTAACTTCCCATCTCAACCACACCTTTTGAATTTTCCCTCCTTTTTGCCATTTTTCAAATGTGTAAGGTTTTTATCTCAACTAAAAACCTTAATTAATTGTAATATATTAATTGGTCAAGCGGACCACGAAATTAGTGAATTTAATATTATTTAAGTAGAATAAGAGGGGGATTGTTTGAATTTAATGTGTGTGAATTAGTCTGAGTAAAAATCCGATGCTGTTCTTTTCACACCGAGACTCTACTAGCGTGAAGTGTTGAAGGTTTCGAGTGAAAATGACAGGATTGGAGTTACCAGAAAGAACTGCTGTACCATCTGCAAATGTGAGTGTGGTCGTATGGTTTCAACTGTATGACCCTGGTATGTTCAGGACACTACCCTGAGGAACACCAGCATGGATACGGAAATATTCAGAAAAAAAATGTTATACAAAAACTGAATCTCTATTGAAGGTCTAAAATTTAAATATCACAATCGGTAAAAGTCGGTTTTTTTTTTACTTATCCAGTTTTGCCCCTAGGGTTGCTCAATCTCAATAACGATTGTTTGATAATGTCTTGACTTGACAAGCAGTCTAATCAAGTCAACAACTTGGTATTTTCTATTTACAACCTAGGCCAAAGTTCAAATTGTATCTTAATCTAAATCATTATGTTGAAATTCAATTAATTAGGGGTTTTTATGTAGATCAATTGAAAACCATTTTGGAGGATTTCTAATAACATCCAAATTTATTTTAATTAATTATACTTTTTTTTATCTCAAATCTGAGATGAAAAGCCAGTGACACGTGTGGGATTAACCATGACCTTTCAGCTGACAGTGGTTTCAAATCCCTCTCATGACAATGGCTTTTTCCATGTCAACCAAGATCTTACATAAAAAAAGTTTAATTAATTAAAATAATTAATACATTGGCTTATTACTACTAAATAAATATATGTATCAAAATTTGTTTAAAAACCCAACAAATTACTGACATCAAACAATTTCTAGGCTCTTTTTCAGGATGCTTAACAGTTTAATTACAGCTCATAAAAAATTGTAATTGTTTGTATAGTTTAAGTGTTCCCTTAAAAAGTACAAATGAGTGTCGTTTGTATTTTAATAGGTTTTGTTAAACTGTCCCATTAAAAGACATTTCGATTGTTATAAGATAAAATTTAATTTTTTTTTCATTTAATTTTTTTTAAATTTAATCTGAATTAATTAACATTTAATTCTGTCGTTACACGTTGCAAGTTTAACGGAAATTGCATGACTCATGTTAACGCAACAATTAAATTGGCGGGAAGGCCAATTTTAAATTGGCAAATCGATTCGCGAATAAAAAATCAATAAATTTTTCCTTTGAATTTAAAAAAAAAAATTTGTACAAAAAAAATCAATCGAGTCGGAAAGAATTTAATTAAATTATAGGACTTTGTCCATCAGGATCAAAAGCATGGCACTAACCTGACAAATAAATTTCGAGCCGGTCTTTTGAGTGAAAAAATCAACGCCAACCAATCGGATCAAATCCTTTTCTGACGCTACTGCATTTTTCCACGGTCGAGTTCAATTGGCATATGCACATTTGGCGTTGATAAGGTCGAGTACCAAGCTGAACGCCGGACGTCAATTGGCGGCTGTGGCGCAGTACCGCAGGATGCAGAACTACAAACTACAAAGCAGAGATGCCGGTCCGTGGTCGGACTGGTCGGCAAAAGACTGTAGCGCTATCTGGCATAAAGTGGCGTAATCAGACTAGATGGTCAATATTTCAAACAGCAGAAACAATTCCAATTCTGAGTTGACCCTTGTCCGTTCAGAATTTCAGTTGGTTCATCCGTGCTGTAACGATACAGAAAAAAGTAAAGAAAGTAGACCCATATTCATTGGTATGGTAAGTTATTGGTAAGTATTTATTAAAACATTTTTGTATATGAACATAAAATATAAAACAAACTTAACACTCTGTGCAGTCTCACTGCACTAAATCAAAGAAAAGGCTTACCACTAAACGTACCAAGATTTACTATATCACAGATGTGTCATTTTTATTTTACAAAGCGAGTTCTAATTGATTTATTTCTACCCCCCTTCAAATTTACCTTAGCTCACGTTTTCGAACATTCAATTGTTATTTTTCAACTCTACTAGAGTGTTATTTAAAAACCTGGATATATCAACGTAAAGCATATTAGATGAAGAAGTTTTTGTAAAATTTGACAAATTTGTAGGTATTTTTTTGTAACCTCAGTAGGACATGAAATCATGACCAAAATTTTAAATTTTGTACTTTTGACATGTTCCAACTGATATTGGTTAACATTTTATGTCATTCAGATTATTGCAAAGAAGTATCTTACAGAAAATTTAGCATTCTTTCAAATGGTGTAATTGGATTTGTTGTAGTCTCAACATTTTGGAAGTTGTAAGCGTTTTTATGTGGTAAGGTAGTGAAAAGTTGAAAAAACCTAAATTGATGAATATCTTCAAAATAGAGAATTTTCAGAAATTTTCTCCTGAGCATTTTTTGCTCCAAACGATGAGTAGAATCGATTCCCTGAGTTTCGTCAGAAGGAACTGGGACACCCTGTATACCTATGTGCACCTCAACTTTCCTTTTGTGTGTGTGTGTGTGTTGTGTAAATGTGTAAAACAATTTTTGCTTGTGGTTTCTGAGAAAAAACTATGGTCTTGTTTCAAAAAAAAAAAAAAAAAAATGCTTTTTATGCACTTATTAACACTCCTATTTTTTATAATGCAAAGTATTTATTAAAACATTTGGTTAGTGAAAAAATAAAAATATCTCTCAAAACCAAAAACAAAAGTTTTTTGTATATGAACATAAAACGTTATAAAACAAACTTAACAATGTTTATATGGTGAATCCTCCTGGTCTTATTACAGACTCTAAACTTGTCAGCATGCTCATAATTAAGCTTTTAACCACTTCTTGAGTAATTTCATTCCAAATTTAACTAACATAACTTTCAGTTCAGCAAAGGTCTTACGAGGGTTATTTCTTTGTTTAATCACGTTAAATCAGACCAGGTGGTCAACATTTCAAACAGCAGAAACATTGCAATTCTGAGTTGACCTGCCAGATCCAAATTTCAATTAGTTCATCCATGCTGTAATGATACAGAAAAAAGTAAAGAAAGTAGACTCACATATTCATTGAAAGTGTTCAGATAAAAGGGACTTAATTAAAAAACTTTTTGCAAGACAAAACTTTCAAATTTAAAACTCCAAAATGTTCTTTTTATTTATTTATTTTTTTATATAATTGTTTAAAACTCAGTTCCACCATATGCTATGAAGTTATATGTACCAGATAATGTAGAAAGAGTATAAAGATTTTACCCTGATTCAGCACATGGAGCCATACTATCACTGCACTAAATTCAAACATAAAACTTATCACTCAACATACCAGGATTTAATATATATTAAATATAGAAAAGTTTCTTCTGTTTGGATGGAAAAATGAAGATTTTAGTAGGGAAATATTAAACAAATTAATTTTAAGGTAATAATTAAACAAAAATGTAAAAAGTTGTATGCAAACTTCTCCTCAGGAGGTCATTTCCTCTTGAGACACCTTATGGAATTGTACGGATGGGTTCTGTTATACAAGGCTTGGGCGAGACTATTAGGACTGATGGGAGAGATTATTATGAAACTTGGTAAATTTTTTAGGGATTATATTTTTGATAAATGGGAATTTAAGGTCGTTGTGGAGCGTAGTATTGGAAACATAATATAGAACATTCAAAAGTGATTTGAGAAGTTTAAATTGAAAGAATTGGAGACTGAATATTAACCGTTTCTCAAATTTAATTTGTATTCAAAAATAATACTAAAGTTTTTAGAAGTAGTTTTAGAAGGACGGTCAAGTGTCAGTATTGTATGTCTGAGTGGAGCTGTTTCGCAACTCCTTTTCATGTAGTACAATGATATCTATTTCCAAGTTCTTTTATTTCCTGTAATTTATTGTCGCTTGTTAGTTCCCATTTACATTGCCAAAAGTGGGACTTCTTAATTTTAAGTTTTAAAATAAGTCAAAATGGAGAAAGTAAATATTCGAATGTTGGTGTTGGAGAGCGCGAAATGTTCGATGTCATCCTTGATCGGTCGTTACTTCGCCGTGATTTGTTTTATTATAGATTTTCACCGATGAAACATAAAATTTAATAATAAAAAATATCAAAATCGTCGATGGCATTAAATCAAATCCTCGAAATTAAATTCAAAGTCAGTTTTGACCATTCAAGTCCTGGATCAGCGCGCCTATGGCTATGAATTCCGAGTGACGTAAAGGTTTCTTATTTTGAGAAGGAGAAGGAAACCTAAAAGATTTTTTTTTTATTACACATTCGAAATTTATTTGTCAAATTCAGGACAAGATATGTTTCTCGACATTTTCCCCTAAGAATCGCCTTGAGGGGTGTTTATAAAATAAAATTGTCAATTTTACAATCCTTCGGAGTGTATGGTAAAAATAGCGAAGAATGAATCCAAAGGACATAACCATCAGTTAACATAGGTAATAATAATGCCCTATTTATGCTAAAAATATATTTTATTTATGTTAAAATGCGATTTATCGCCTGTTCCGTTTGACATTCATGCTTATTTGATTAGTTTTATCCTTAAAATTTGTAATCTTGAAGGAGTTATTTTGTACTGTTGTAACAAAAAGTTATTAATTATTTGTCATCGGTCCTACTACGGTTTATTGACTTTAGGTTGACAGTAATACCATAAATTAAGCAGTACTGTTCTTGTCCTAAAGTTAAAAGTATATAAAATCCCTTTTACTTATACACATAACGCATACAGGCTATATTTCATCGCTTTCAGTATGCCTCAAGTTTTATCGACATTTGACATTTTCATGTACAAATTAACGGTAATAATTGTAACTATTGTCATTTTTGAGGAATTACTTCTTCGACATAACAATCGCAACCTCTGATCGGCCCTGATCATCATGGTTCGCTCATTCTAGCCGGTTTTGTATGTCAGATATGTTCTTATGTCAAATATCATTTTGGTCTGTCATACTCATTTCTACTTCTTGCCATCTTCAGCTTTCAGCTTGTTTGATATAAACTCATCCTGCTTATACCAGGAGGAAATCCCAACTTGAAGGTCATACTCATATCTAAATCTACATCTTAAAGTAATAATTATTCATATGATCATTTCCAACATGTAATTTTGTCGAGATAACAGTTGCAAACCCTGATTGTCCCTGATCATCATGGTTCACTTATTCTAGCCGATTTTGTATGTCAGATGTGTTCTATCAAATATAATTTTGTTCTGTCATACTCATTTCTACTTTTCGTTATCTTCAGCTTTAGGTTTGTTTGATATAAACTCATCCTGCGTACAGCAGGAGGAACTCCCAACTTGAAGGTCATACTCATATCTAAATTTACATCTTAAAGTTATAATTGTTCATATGGTGATTTCTAAAATGTAATTTTGTCGAGATAACAATCGCAAACCCTGATTGTCCCTGATCATCATGGTTAACTCATTTTAGCTGGTTTTGTATGTCAGATATGTTCTTATGTCAAATATCATTTTGGTCTATCATACTCATTTCTACTTTTTGCCATCTTCAGCTTTGGGTATGTTTGATATAAACTCATCCTGCTTATATCGGGAGAAAATCCCAACTTGAAGGTCATACTCATATCTAAATCTACATCTTAAAATAATAATTGTTCATATGGTCATTTCTAAAATGTAATTTTGTCGAGATAACTTGTCCCTGATCATCATGGTTCACTCATTTTAGCTGGTTCTGTATGTCAGATATGTTCTTATGTCAAATATCATTTTGGTCTGTCATACTCATTTCTACTTTTCGTTATCTTCAGCTTTAGGTTTGTTTGATATAAACTCATCCTGCTTACACCAGGAGGAAATCCAAACTTGAAGGTCATACTCATATCTAAGTCTACATCTTAAAGTAATAATTATTCATATGATCATTTCTAACATGTAATTTTGTCGAGATAACAGTTGCAAACCCTGATTGTCCCTGATCATCATGGTTCACTCATTCTAACCGGTTTTGTATGTCAGATGTGTTCTATCAAATATAATTTTGGTCTGTCATACTCATTTCTACTTTTCGTTATCTTCAGCTTTAGGTTTGTTTGATATAAACTCATCCTGCGTACAGCAGGAGGAACTCCCAACTTGAAGGTCATACTCATATCTAAATTTACATCTTAAAGTTATAATTGTTCATATGGTGATTTCTAAAATGTAATTTTGTCGAGATAACAATTGCAAACCCTGATTGTCCCTGATTATCCTAGTTTACCCATTTCTGTCTGATTTTGTAAATTGGACATGTTTCAGCACTACACCATCTTCCGTCATAAGTAATTAATTTAATAATTTAATAATCAAAATGAACAGTGCCCCGGCAAGAACGAGTTAGTTTAGTTTTTTCAGTGTTGTCAAATATTTCATGTGCCTTTTTTGTGGTTTGGTGTAAGATGAATGGAGGTAGCTTCTTGAGGTACAAAAAATATTCAGTTAAAATAAAATATTGTATTTGTTTTCTCCATATTGTTACATAAAAGAACAATACGTTCATTGTCTTTCCTCTTACTTTATGTGACTATAGTTGTTGTCAAGTGTTCATAGGTCAGTCTATATCCATTTCTACTTCGTGCTGTCTTCAGCGCTGGGTTCGTTGGGTCTAACATATTCGTAAACTACACCTTTTATATCCCAGGAGAAAATGTAAAGTATAGAGTATATTGTTACAAACAACATGTCAGTTCCTTTTATTTTGTGCAATCAGCAAAAATCACCAATCATTTGATTGTTTCTGATCATTTGAGTTGTTAAACATTTCTATTTCTTGCCATCAGATTAAGGTGTATTTGACTTAAACTACGTCGTGCATACTCCAGGAGGAAATCGCACAATGAAGGTCACTCAGTTCGATAAAACAATTCTACATTATAACTTGATGTCTATGCATAAACATAATTATATTCCAGATTATAGTGAAATTCTCTACCCAGCAGTAATGTCTGATAGTTTTGATAAGTGATTGTCATATTCTGCGTTGAAATTGATTTCTGATCTATTTTTCTACGGAAAACATTTTCATGGTGTCTTCTTTGAGAAAAGTTTTACTATTTCATTGTAATAAAAAACCCAATGTTCAACACCTTCAGGCTTCAACACGCTTACAGGGGACAGACTTTATGGTTAATAAATTAGTAGTTAGTAAATTCATCTTTAAGTACACAATCTCAAAACTCGTGTCTATAGAAAAAGTTCTGCGATTGTCTATAGACAAATCAGGTACAAATCGCTTGTCATGCAACTACCTATAGACAAAAATCGCAAGTCTATGATCTCCCAGCTTGGATGGATAACTTGAGACATATTGCACAACATTTTGTAGTGTGGTGGCTGGATTGGTTGCCCTGAATCCTTGTTTCTTGCTTGCATATTTTATTTCCAACCATAATTAGCACTTTTCAAAATCCTTGGTGATTGGCTGGATGAATTTTCTGAAACCTGAACTGCCTTTAATTTTTCCAGAAGAATCAGTCCAAATGTAGGACCGTCTGCTAAAATGTTCCTTGTCCACCAATGATTACGATTAATTTTCCTTTTTTGATTAAAAAAAAAAAATTAAAGCAGCAAAGCCGGAGGCCGCTATTTCACTGGTCATGTTATTGTAGAAACTATAATTGAGTTGTTCAGGTGTGGATGCATTACAAAGATTCTAGATCATCTAGGATTTGTTCTACAACACCCTGCAGACAAAATCAGTCATTTATCTATAGAGAGTCATGCGATTTTGTTTACGAGTGTCCTAGCCTTTAGGAACATGGTTGATGGAATCCCCAAATACCTCTGGGGTTTTCAAATATAAATGAAGAATTTGATATAACTAACTTGTCTTAATTGACAGACCAATTTTATTTAAATAATGTATGTTTTGACATCACACTCAAGCAACACTTAGAAACTTAAAATATGTTGAAAGTTACTTTTTTTATTTTTTTATATTTTTTTATTTTTATTTTTTAAATACATTATTCTTAATCATTTAAGCCTGTGAGGCAAAGAACCTTTCATTCTGATCATCCTTATATGCTTGTAGCTAATAAAAGAACAACATTTGCATACCAATATGCAGAAATGCATCAGACAAAATCAACGAAAAAAGGATAATGACATTTGTTTTCACAAAATAAATAAATAAGACATTATCCCAACCCTACCTGCCAAACATTTAATCAATTATAATGCCAATTAGTCGCAACAATTAAAATAAAAGACTTTGTCAAAACAAAATGCTCAACCATCCAAATGATTAACCGTCCTTAACAATTTTTATCGTTATTTTTATGATATATTAGAAGGTCTGGAACATTTTGTTATATTTTTTGATATGGTTCTCCTTGTATGATGAAAAAGTAGTTGAAAAACTTACTTAAAACCCTTATGTATCTCGTGCAGGGATTGGTAGTTTTCTTTGTTTCTGTTTGTAAAAAGTTTCTGAATTTTCCTATGGACAGAATAAATTACAACCACTTGAATATAAGCAAATGAATTTTTTTTAAACTTCAAATAAATCCAGTCATGTTGATTTTATTGATGAATTTATTGCCAGTGCTGTCTAAAATCCAAATATCTCGCTCTTAAAACTTTTCTTATTGGGTTAAAAGAATATTTTACGATTAATGGTTTACTTTTATTTTTTACATAAAAAAAAGATAATTTTATTTTGTGAATTTTTACTAATTTAAGATGTGTGTCACATGTTACAGTGTAGAGGGATCAGCTGGAGTGGTGGAGAGCTAGTCAAAATGAAATAACTCCACAAGATACCAAGAGCAAGTTACTTTATTCGGTTTTAATTTATTTATATATTTTCCAGAGTGGCAAAAAGAAAAGTGAAAGATTTTTTGTCTAATATCCTTGAGATTTATATTAAATCGCTTTCCCTGTTTTTAGTCTTGTGATAGTCAATTAGAATAATGAAAACTGGAATTTGGGATAAAGTGGGCCAAATAAAAAGTGTCAGTTTTCTCAAGTTCCATTCTATAGTCAGATAAGAAAATAAAGAACGACAAGGGTGGAGTTTATGTATTATTGCCTAAGGCCTCGACTTATACTCAGTTATGAGCCGGGAGGTGAAATGGACATGTGAATATTGCACCTATGAGAATTTTCCAAACGCGTCCAAGTGCACCATGTGTCAGGGTCCAAAACCTTTGCTCTCAAAAAACATATATCGGCTTAGAGCCGACGAAGATTCCGGCTTTGTAAAACCCGAAACTTCGTCTTCAGTGCCTCGTAGTGTTAATGCAGATTTTTTACATGAACAGTTAAAACCCCTGAGGATAAGTGATTGCAGTGAAAATACCGCAAGTGCAACTTCTCGTGTTAGTACTGCCGTTAAATGGTCGTGTAAAATATGTACTTACGAAAACTGGCCAAAATCTAGGAAATGTATTATGTGCGGAACATCGGCATCGGCATCCAACACCTCCCCTACCTCCGGACAACTGCCACTGCAAAACCAGGCGTCTCCGAACAACACTTCAGTGAGACTCACTTCACCATCTCCTGAAAAAGATGCTACCATTAATGAGGATAATACCATGAAAAGGTAAGCAGCCGAGACAAATGAATTTATTTATTTTACTCAATGCTCCTGGTAATTACTTTACTCTGAAAAAGTATAATTTGTTCAAAATGTAAAAGACAACAATAAAGAAGCTTTAAAGCACACATTAACAGAATACGAAAAATTAGCACTGCAAAGAATAAGATGTGGCCTGCCTGCAGACTTTAAACAACTTTTAACTTTAAGTAATGGTTATTGGTTTGATATTTGAAGCAGAAAAACATACATGGTCGAATAAAGGGAGTCCTTTCATACGTGTTTGAAATAATATTCTTATATGAGTGAATGTATTTATTAGCGTGAATTTTATAGTATGTTTGGATGATGTAATATCAAGTACCTACAAACACTTTTAGTTTTATATATATTTGCAGTGTGATAGGGATGGGGGTAAGGGTGTAGTCACTGGAATAATACCAAAAACACTGGTGTCTACCCAATTGTGTGAATGTATTTATTTGCATGAATGGTTAAGTGTGCATTAAGTACATGGTCTGTGTGGAATATCGAATGGCCATAAACCTATCGAACCAATTAACTTAGGGTAGTGAATGCATGATTTTTTCTGTGTGAATGTATTTATTGGTGTGAATGGAGGGGGTGTCAAGGTGTCAGGCTTCCAACTGTAGGTTTAGGATGTACATTTTAGTTGTAGGGGTGGGCTCTCAACAGTATATCGAAAACTCTTGAGACCTTAGGCTAGATAATCTTTTAAATAGTATGAATGTGTATTTTAATTGACTTAGGCCATTTTAATCATGTGTGGAAGGGTTAAATATCAAAGATGATAATATAAAAAAAATTAAAAAAAAATGTTAGAGACAAAACGTGAGGAGCAGACAATTAGTCCTCCAATAGAGAAAAGTTGTGCGAATATCAATCTTCAATATTATCACTTTATTTAAAAAAAAAAACAAAAAAAAACTGGTCAATAGATTAACAAAAAGTAAAAGTAGTTTATAAAAATAACCCACTAAACAAATGGTGAAGTAATTTCTATTACACGTAATGGTTTAAGATCCAACAACCAATTTTTGAGGTTGTGGATGAATAATATAAGAATATAAAAATAATTTTGTCCTACATATTTGAAAAAAAAAACAAAAATATTTCTGCCTTACCTAGGTCTAATTCAAGGCGGGAAGACATTGGAGCTAGTCAAACTAGCATGACGAATAATTATGAGTTCGATCGTCGAAGACGAGAGGCGGATTGGACATGGCTCAACGCTTGCCTGGGAGTCGTGGAAGGTGATCCGAATCCAGTCGCCAAATTCCTCAGCACTGGGGGCGACCCGACTAGACAGCTATTGCCCGCCGAAGTCTCCCTTTTGAACAGACCATCGGCTTTCGATATCGGGCACACTTTGGTCCATCTAGCTATAAGGTATTTATCATCGTATTATCCCGTAAAATTGATTTTCTAATAGGATTCTCCCCTGTTTAGGTTTCACAGGGAAGAGATGCTAGCAATGTTGGTCTCGTCAATAGACGGAGGCGGTTCCGGATTGAAAAGAGTCCCTTCTTACATCGCTCCCGAGCTCGCTTCAGCGATTCGTAGACACGCAGCTACCATTTTCAACACGAAACATTCACGGTCAATCCCTTTTCCTTTTATAACTGAATTCACAACATTTGTTTTGCCCGCAGGTAAAATAACTCTATATCATTTATTTATTTATTTTTTTGAAGCGTTTCAATATTGTTGTTCTTTAGATATAGAAGATCTCCCTGCTTCAGTTCAAGAACAACTTTTCGATGAACTCTTGGACAAAGATGTACAACAACAGTTAGAAAGCGAACCGGCTGTAATTAATTGGTCTGTCGAAATTACAGTTCAGTTAGGCTCAAGGCTCCACGCTCTTTGGAATCGGTGAGTTTAAAAAGGGAACGAAAGCTAAATAAAATATCTGTATGTTTTATTATTATGGTTTTTGAATTCAGCAGTTAATATTAAAAATGACAAGTTTAAAAATATCTAGTTTCATAATGGACGTACTTACAATACCTAAACAATAAAAACACAAATCTTTATTTTAAACAAATAATTTTTAAAGAAGTAGCTTGCAAAACATTAACAGAAAAATTCTGTCCTAGTTTAATGGATCCGTGGGGTACATGATATTTCACCACAAGCCCACCCACACATACTCAACTGTTCACGCTAATAAATATATTCATTCAATAACCAAAACATTCACAGAAATATCCTATCCTAGTTTAATGGATCCGTGGGGTACATGATATTTCACCACAAGCCCACCCACACATACTCAACTGTTCACACTAATAAATACAATCATTCAGTAACAAAATATGCAAAAAAAAAATCCTACCCTACTTTGATGGATCTGTGGGGTACTCAACATTTCACTACAAGCCCATCCACATGTGCGATGAGATATGGATTCTGTACGAAACAGGAGGCGTACAGGTCAGTGGTTGGACAAGGATGAAGCACCAAAACCAAATCTGCCCCCAAAACAGGTTGTGGTAACTGTTTGGTGGTTTACTGCTTGGGTTGTTCACTATAATTTCCTGAATTATAGTGAAACTATCACAGAAGAGAAATTGCAAAACTGCAATGTCTTTGTCCAGCATTGGTAACCATAAAGGGCCGTTTCTTCTTTATGACAATGCCGGGCCACATATCACATGCCAACCCTAAGGAAACTTAATGACTTAGGATATAAAACCTTACCACACTCTCCATCTACTCCCAACCTATCGCCTACAGACTTCCACTTTTTTAGGCATTTTGATCTTTTTTTGAGGGATAAATTTTTTAGAGAACGTGATGAAGCCGAACAAGCCTTCCAAGACTTTATTGTGAGGTGAAATAAAGATTTTTATGACAGAAGAATAAAAGCACTTGTTACACGTTGGCTAAGATGTATAGATTGTGATAGAAAATATTTCGAATATTTATTTTATAAAAATGAAAAATAGTTTTGACTGCCTTTTTAAAACCTGCATTATTTTTGCACCAGCCCAATGAACAGCAATCCCTTAACATTTGCGGGTGTTAAGTTCCAGAAAACTGATGTAAATGTTTAATCCACGAATGTTGTCTATTTTCATATGCTGTAAGGAGGGCTATGTTCCATGACGTCAAAAATTGAGATTCAATTCAGAACTAAAAAAAACCAGTTGATTCAGAATAGACATAATAGAAGACACAACAGTGTGAACACGTTAATTGTTTTCATTGTTTGTATTTTTTGATTTGCAAGGAAAGAAATAACTACTAATTGTTCACTGTTTTGCCAAATAATTAATTTCTTTAAGAATTTCCACATAAGGATTAATAAGTGGCCTCGACATGCCCTTTAAACTTAAAACTTCAATTTAAAGATGGATTGAAATCCATTGCTTTTGCCCCTCAAGGTTAAAATTTCCCTGAGCTGTTTTGAAGACTAACTTTAGCCTGCATTAAAAATGTAAAAAACGTAATATGTCCAAAATTTTTATTCTTCTTTCACCAAGGGCCAGGACCATTTTTTCTATTTTGGAAGAGAAGGCAATTTGCAACTCAACTTCAACAAGAGAATAAAACAAACTGAGAAGAACGAAGAAGGCAAAAGTTTTCTGAGCATTTTTTAAGGAATAATTTTCGATATGAAAATAAAATTGTTTACGCAACAGTTTTTTTTTTCCGCGAATAAAGACATCGAACTGATGCAAATGTCAAAACTCCTCATTTTTTCATACGTGAAACCCGCAAATGTCAAAACCGCGAATGTTAAGGGATTACTGTATATATTACACAATATATTATTTATTGTGATATTATTATGGTTTTTCTAGGTCTCAAGGTGATTGCCTTTTGGATTCTCTGATGCAGGCGACCTGGGGAGTTTTCGACAGGGATTCCCTGCTAAGAAGGGCTCTTGCTGACTCCCTCTGCCATGGAGCACATCTGTAGGTCATTTGAAAAACTTTCTATAAACTCAATGCTATAAGAATGATTATATTTTATAGACTATATCCTCGTTGGTTGGAATCGGAAGCCAATCAAGCCCGTCAACTGGATTTCACATTGAGTGATTCGCAATGGGCTGAGGACTGGTCGGCATTGGTGAAACGAGCGACGCAGCCTGGCGCGTCGCTCCAGCAACTTCACGTTTTCGCATTGGCTCACGTTCTAAGAAGGCCAGTTCTCGTATACGGAGTTAAGTTTGTTAAAAGCTTCAGGGGGGAGGCGCTTGATTATGCCGGTTTTGAAGGTAATTTAATTGTATTTTAATAAAAAAAAGTAATTTTATTAACCACTTATGATTTAGGTGTTTACCTTCCATTGCTTTGGGAACCGAGTTTTTGCAGTACGTCTCCAGTGGCTCTCGGCTATACCCGTGGTCATTTTTCCGCCCTCGTACCGATGGAGTGTTACTCAACCCACACACATTCTGATCTCGGCTCGTCAGGAATTGTCGAGGACAATCGAGGAGAACAAGTCTGTTACTTACCCCTCGTCGACAGAGACAGAAAAATCCTCCCAATTCATTTTCTCACAAAATCAGAAGTGCGTATTTTTTTTGTGCAAATAAAATATGTACAGTTTGATGAATGTATTTTTATTTCAGACTGGAAGCGAAGAAAGATTATTAAGGAGGTGGTTAGATGTCAATATCACAAACGGCGGTCTCCTTGTTGCTCAACAAAGGGTTCACGGTAGACCTTTGCTTGTTGCTCAAATGCTTCAGGAGTGGCTTAATCACTATAAAAGTCTGGCGTATGTTTCATCATACTAAATAACCAACATACAATTGTACATATAAATTTTTCAAATACGTTTTTCCAGTCAAATGTCAGGAACGCCCTACAGTCGGACAATCCCAACACAGGATTTTTCGAGTGACGGTGACACGGATGATGAATGACCTTAATATCTCACAGAAGAAGAGGACAAGGCTCTCTAAAAGAAGTAATCAAAGTAACAACCTAGCAAAATACAAATATGGGAAAAAAAGCAAACAAAAAAATTACTAAAAACTGTGATATCTCATCTAAAGAGGATACATCGGTTTCTCTTTCTTATTTGCCTCTTTAATCATCATTTTTTATAACATTGTTGTTTATGCTATTGTACATGTGAAAGCTTTTAATACTGCCAATCATTTTATATATACATATATGTTACATATGTGTGTATAGAAAATATAAAAGGGTAAGTTTAAGCTGAAAGTTGTTTTCACCATTTATTTACAAATATGATTTTTTTTTAAGAGGCTAATCACACAGAATATATATTAACAAATTTGTCTAGTGTCATAGAAATTATACAAATTGTTAAACATAGAAGAGAATGCAATAAAACAAGCTTCACTGAATAATAAGCTCAACAGTTTTAAAAATTTGTATTAAATAAAATAAATAGAATATAAATCTTACCAATTTCATTGAAAGGCTTTATTGAAAATACTAGCCTTTAATAAATGAATCAAATAACAAAAAATATTTACACACCCTAAAGGGTTTTTTTACTTGTACTAGTTATCATTAAAAAAAATATTGTAAATAAAATAGACTTGTATTAACAAATTGATATTTGAGCGAGTAAATTCTACTTCTAGCATTGTTTCTTTTTTGTAAATTCTTCACCTTTTCTTTTTTTTGCTTATTTTTATTTTATTTGTTGTCCTTTATTGCCATGTTATTAAATCACGAATCAAATTCTTGTTCACTCCATAACCTGCTCAATACAATTTGTTAGTCAAACGTAAATATTAAAAAGGTGAATTAGTTAATTTTTGGCTTTGTTTAATCCGCTAAAGAAATAAATTTTTCGCCATTATTATTTTTCGATATGTATAATTTTCTTTACTCATCCGACGGAGAGGAAGAAAATGCGTACATTTGTCTGGTTTCGTAGGCGCAAGTAGGAAAAACAATTTTTATCGTCTTAAAAGTGAATTATTTATTTTATTAGGGAATAACAATTTATTAGATGAATTTTTGGATAGAAGTTTAATCAAGGTTGGATTGTTTTTGTTTTGTTTATTTCATATTCATTTGAACATCCGTTGATATATTTATTTCAAATTAAAATCCCCCCCCCCCCCAACTAATGAATTATATGAAGAATATGAAGTGTGTTATTCATTGTAAGGTATTGTTCAAAGTTTACAAGTGTCCACTATGCTGTATTTCATCGAGGTTCATAACCGAGTCATCAGTATTTGTCAGGTTTTTGATAATTAATTTTTTGTTCAATTTCAGAGCCATTGATTATTTTTTTCTTAACAACATAGTAAAAATGTTTTTATCTGTTGAAATAAAATTAGAATGAACCATGCTGTTTTTAATTTCCAAAATGTGCCCCTTTTTTATGTTTTACCTACCGAAATTCATTATGAAATTTGAGTTGTATTTGTCAAAATAACTAACCTGTAGATTGTCTCTGGTTCCCCGTTTGGATTTTATCGCCGGTTTTTTAAGTCTGACATTGTGTCTTCTTCGGTGGTTAGTCTATGGTTTGATTTGTCGACACCTAATAGGACGTGGCTGCCAAAAGAACACACAGACCAACCACTGAAGACGGATCAAAAATTTATGACTGTTTTACACCATTTAATGTATAACAATTTAAATCCAGTCTGCCTATTCTTAATGATTCTGTTCTTTGAGTTTTGAGTATAGTCAGAAAACAGTCCTGATGTCAAACAAAATCAACAAGGCTTAAGATGATGGATGATGTCAAAGCTACATTGTTTTTGTTTTACTGTGTGATTTTTTAAAAAAGTATATAGGTTGAACTCAATTGTCTCTGGTCATTCAGGTTCGCCTATTCTCAGTAGTTTGGTCTGCTATATGAGTTTAATTCTTCTGCAGTTTTGGCACCTTATAAAAGGACGCAGACTCTAAAATTACACGGACCAACTACTTGAGAATTTGAGCTTGACAGACAAAACCAGCGAAAATAAGCAGACTATGGCGTGGTGACCATTGACTTACAAATTCTTCACCTTGCTGTCGTTAAAACAACTAAGTGAAAAAAAAAGTTTCAGCAATTCCAAATTAAAATTGATATTGTGAATAAAAATAAAATAGGTGAGAACTTGCATTATTTGTTCTAGGTCAAAATAAGTCACAAATTGACATGCTCATAATCTGAAGTATCAAGATCTTTATTGTCGCTCCGCTGAGGTGGCCATGGTCTTCTCCTCCTCCTTGTATCCGCCTGGGAATTAGAAGAACTTTTTATGAAGTGTATACAAGCCACACATTTCACAACAAACACAAGAAAAATTGTGGCAGTTGTAAACAGAATTATTTTCCAGTGAGCCTTCAGGAGAGTGTCCGGTTCATGAAAATCATCTGAAAATAAATTTACAACCATAATTTGATGTTATATTAGGCTCTGGTATAGTAAGCGTGTTGCTACTTTGAAATTCTGCTATGGTAAGATTCGCTTCGTTGTAACGTATTCCAGCTTCGTTTATTCCACCGCAAGCGTATGTTCCGGCATCCCGAATTGTAACTTTTTTCAGATGAAGCTTGCTCAAAAAGACATCCTTGTGTTTAGACACTTCGGTGGTGTTTAAAAGCTAAAAAAAAAATTCAACTATAAGTTTGTAATTTATTATAAAGCTTGCGTATTTACCTGGTAGAATTTATTTTCGTATTGAAAAGCTCCCGGTGACTTATTGACTCTTTTATACCATTTGACATGTAGAGGAAGCGAACTTTTTATTTTACATTTGAATAAAACATTCATACCTACGTACGTTTCAATATCTTCTGGCTCTTCTAGAAACACAGGCTCTAGGTCTCTTTCTAAAAAAAAAAAAAGATTACAGTAAATAATACAAATAATACAGATTGAATACATTTTACCTAAAATTTTAAGATTGTATGTGATTATCGGCGTCGCTGAAGAAACGTAGCCGATTTTTTTCTCAATTTTGAAACATTTGTACAATCCTGGCAGCGGTTTTTCGACCAGCATCCTTGTCGAGCACGCAGGCTTTGACGGTACGCTACAGATTTTATATCCGTTGGATTCTTTAAGCGTTGAATTGCAGACGGGCGTTATGCAATTCTACAAAACACACTTATAAGATGGGACATTAAACGATTTCATGCTAACTTACTTGATAATACCAAACGACTTCGACCGCGGTCGAATTTTTTCCAGGTCTCGTACAAGTGAGTGTAATCGGTTTTGAAGGAACGATTTTTGTGATTACATTGGAATCCAAAATATTTTTTGACTGCAAATCTACACAAAGTTTAAAAATAAATAAATAAATAAATTCAACATGTAAAACTGTATGTACACTCACTACCAGTTGCAACGTCATGGCCTGTTCTTTTTGAACAAATTAAATCTAGTTTAAAACAGGCGATTATTATAATATATAACAACATTTAGGATGATCATCTAAAATCAAAATCACATTTAAGTTTGTAGCTTTTTAAATTAAAATTAATTATTTATTTAGCTTAATAGACATAAATAATGTCAGTAATGTTTGTGTGCTAATAACAGGACAAAATTCAAAATAACACATTGAACAACCACAGAAGATGAAACACATTTGACAGACGGAACCAGCGAAAATAAGCAGACCACGGGGATCAGAGACGATGTTGACTAAAATAGCAAACATTGTGACAAAGGTTCTTAATATAATGGTAATGATTTTGTAAATTGGTCATTACATATGCATCATCAGACCCAATAAAGATGGTGGTGAAATGTTGAAACGCATCTGACACCAAATCAGCGAGGTTAGGTAGACCAAAAATCGGTAATGACCAAATTACAGTTTCATCACCTTGCAGACCACATTGTTAGGTTAAGTTATCAGCCTCTGTACTGCCACATGCACTGTGACCAATTGTCTACTGTGCAACCTCTAATTTCTAAAGCTCGTTACGTTTTTGACCAGATTTCAAGGATTAATAAAAGATCCTTCAGGCTTTGGTTTTCCTCTCCTGGGAGTAGAAAACTCACCTGGATAAGCCTTTGCACCAACTGAGGACATGTTCCATTGTTTCTTCTTCCTGACAATACTTGTCATCATATTGTCTGATGTACCTGTTTTCAAAAATTTGGTAGCCACCAAAGGGTTCCATTGTTTCTTTTTCTTCCTGGCAATATCTGCAAAGGGCAGTTTCTGCTGCTCCAAGTTTACACAGTCTCCAGTTTGCAGTATTTATCATTCCAGCCTTAACAAGTCATATGTTTAGCAGTTCTTCCATCATATTTGTAAACTTTTGCACAAACCTCTGTCTTGGAATAAATTCCCATTGAACTGATGACTTATTCTTAACCTATTGTCCGATGTACTTGTTTTCAAAAATTTGGTAGCCACAAAAGGGTTCAGGGCTGAGACGTGTTCTGACTGAACTTTCCTTGGCCAATTTATCGGCCTCTTCAATGCCGTTCTGCCCTGAATGCCTGGGTACCCAAACTAGGGTAATTTTGTTGTCCCCAATATCTGACATAACCTTGATGTAATACTAAACAGCCCTAGACCTTTTAGGTTACCTTTAATGCCCCCTGGCTATCTGAGAATATGGCTAGTTTTTTATACCCAGCCTTTTGATTTCCTTGGCAGTGTTCAATAGCCAGTCTCAACCTTAAACTTTAATTTCCTTTTTATGCGAGTAGGCTGTTGGAGCCTGTCCTTGCATCTGCCTGTGAATTGTGGCTCTAGCCTCTCCCTGGATGAAGACATGTAGAGGTCGTAGATTCAGGACTTCCAGGGCAGCAGTGAGAGTCGTTCTCATTGCCGAGTAATGCCCAGGCAGTATCCAAACTATCCTCAGCTATAATTTTTTGTTCATCAAATAACCGACGTGTATGCTATCATAGGTCTAGCAACCGCAGTGTATGCCCATAGGGACATCAGATTTATAATTAATTCCTCCAGTTTATCCCACATGGCGTTTACATCTGCCAATGGCAATTTTATTTAGTTGCTAATTCAAAAAAGTCTTTAGTCAATCAAACTTAGATATTTCATTTCTTTACAATTCACAGTAAATTATAAAATATTTTCTTTCTAATTTCACAATCCATATTTCTTGTGTCTTATTGTATGCACAATACCAGAGACTGAGGCAGCTTGTAGAATTTGCACTGTGTTCAGTGATGAAATAGTAAGTGAGCACACTGCCCAAAGTGGTTCAAAAAATTTCCTTCTGAGAATGAGGGGATTGAAGATGTATGAAGGTCTGGTAGACGGTCTTGAAAGACGATGAATTGAGGGAAGCTTTAGAACTTCGAGTCAAACATGCCATCGGGAGCTTGCCAACAACAACAACCAATGTAAGTATGAAACCATTCATTCTAACTTACATCAACTTGTGAAGAAGTGGAAGCTGGGCAAATGGGTTCTTCATAAGTTGACTGACGGTAACAAGCTTCATCGTCTGAACGCCTTAAATTGCCTTCAAGGCAATAGTTTTTTTGAAGGTTTCACTTATTTATTACAATCTGTAACTTTATTTATATTATGCATTGGGCTGAATTTATAAGTGACCGATCATGTGTCGTGAGGGGAATTTAACAACCATTGTCGTTCTCTTAACTATGAGAGGCCTAATCCTCGTTTAGTAGGTCTCTAATAGGCCTGAGGCTCTCCTTTTCAGTTGTCTGGTGGGATTATAAGGGTGGTTTCTATTGGATAAGGATTGGGCAACTCAATTGTGGTAAAAAAGTTTATTGTGGAAAGTGGAAAATGTTTTGGGGATTATATTTGGCAAGAGAGGAATTTTGAAGTCATTAGTGGTAAGAAGCATTGACTTTCTGATGTTCTGAGGATTTTAGGTTGGAAGAACTTCTTTGGATGGAAGGTTTAGCAGTGTCCCACAGTTCTAGGCCTTATGACAGATCGGTTTTGGTGTTGTTTCGTAGATTGTCAATTTTTTGTTTTTGTTTAAACGTCAGGTTTGCATGATAGTGTATGTAGTAGTCATTTGCCATTTTAGTTGGGTGTATTGGTTCCATCTTAGTCTTGATTCTAGATGGAACTCAAGGTACCCAGTCTGTTTTTGGGATAGGATATTTAGGAATATTATATGAGAGGTTTTACTTTAAAGGGTGAATGATACATGGGTGCTTTCATTACAATTTACATGTAAGTGTTTGCTCCATTTGGCTGTTTGCAGGGAGATCCTCCAAAGCAATTAAAAAGGATGCAAGCTGGTGGGTGAAGTTGGATTATCAGCGGTGTATAGGAGATAAAGGATCTCCTGAGGTACTCCAGCTCCCAGAGGATAATAGTAAGAGTAGGCTGATCCTTGGCAGACTCCTGGCAGAATGATTTTGGCTAAGTAGGGATGAAGGATCAGGTAGAGGTATAATTTACAGTGAACTGTTCAAATAAATTTTTTCTTTGTGAATTGACGCATTATCCTCTGGGTTATACTGTGGGATGCAATTTATGCAATCCTCCTAAAACAATAACAAACGAAAAACCGCAAATAAAAACATCAACTGGTCTATTATTAGTTATTCAGAAATCGTAAGATGCGGTCTGGTGCGATGTAGGTTTCAGAAAATCATTTTCTTTATCGTGCCAACGTTTCGATCTTTATTGAGATCATCTTCGGGGCCAGGGCACTCTCAACACGACACGCAAGAATGGCACAATTACATAGAAGACAAACACATTGAGCCCTGAAGATGATCTCAATAAAGATCGAAACGTTGGCACGATAAAGAAAATGTTTTTCTGAAACCTACATCACACCAGACCGCATCTCACGATTTCTGAATAATTATCGATTAACGGTCACTAATCACCACAAATTTCTATTATTAGTGTTTTAAACTTGTATTAGGGGAAAAAAAGAAAAAAAACTTGTATTAGGGGCGTCGGTGGCCGCAACGGTTTAGGCGTTGACACGGCGCTCGTCACTGTAAGGTAAAGGTCCCGGGTTCGAATCCAGCGGCCCTGCATTCGAACGCGACATACTTACAAATGGGCTTTTTTTCAAAAATCACCGGCAACCTGAGGGTTTATATGACCTCTGCTGTTGCGAACCCTCGTAAAAAAAAAAAAAAAAAAAAACAAACTTGTATTACTTCTTACAGTTTCGAATTAAATTGACCTGTCAATATTGACTAACTGCTGAGTAAATGTAACAATGACGTCGGTGCTTCGTAAAATGGCGTCTCGACTTCTTTAAAACGGGAAGAACTTACTAAAGGACTTTTTTAATAATTCTTCATAATACAATTTGTCAATGAATCAAATATTCAAAACAAACTGTCGACTCAAATGATCAACTTTAAAATACATTAAGTTCAAAAGTTTTATTGTTTTTATGAAGGATGGCCAGTAACATGTCAAATAACGGGATAACGATCGAACGAAGAAAACATTCTCTCCAGCACAACACAGACACGTGGCCCAAAGGTCCCAGCATAAATAAACACAACGTCCCTCCGTTCCGTAAACATCTATATATTGAACAGCATTTGTTGACTTTTGAATTGAACCTTTTGTTTTGTACCTTGAGTTTAAAAACAGGACTCAAAAAAAAATCTCATAGGTACTTTTCATGGATTATTAAAGGCTACATCATCACTCAACATTGTCAAAACTAAAACTCTAAAAGGTGTTAAGATGTTGTATGCTTACATGACTTCTTATATTGCCAATTAATTATTAACTAAAGTTTATTATTAAAAGAAAGAAAAATTCATTAAAAAACTGTATATCTCAATCTAAAGGAGCGAGAAGAATCCAACACAACCATGCATGAAGGATTTTGCATTTTTCAACTATATAGTTCGACAGGATTGAACCAATTTTATAGATATTTAATAATCGTAAAAATGCAGATAAATAATATAAGAGACGGTGTTTTTTCTAAAATCCTTGTCGTTTTAACTTGAATGGCGGTCATAAAAAAAACTCATAAAAATACACTGAAAGGTTAAAAATTCCACCCAATTGATTTTTTCTCGATAAAAGAAAATTGGTCTCATTATTTTTATCAATAATTATTTGTTTATGCTATGTTTTAAATTGCGAATATCAATTAGAGGTGAACACACTTAATCCTTAATACAAAACAGGGATAAAGGATTTTTCAATATTTACTTTTTGCGGGGTTTAAAATGTTTATTCAGTCTCATTTGAATTCTGAAGGAATAACCTGTTTAGTTTTCATCTGTGTTTTCTTAATTTCAATTTTTAAACTTAAAAATGCCACTTAGTGCTGAGGATGTTGCGCGCTGTGTAGCAGTTATTGATGATGGACGTTCCATCAGGTATGCGGCTGTTGCCATCGGGGTTCCCTACGAAACTCTGCGAGAAGCCGTTAGACGTTTTCCAGAAACTGGGTCCTACTACCAAAGAAGGCCCGGTTTTGGACGCTCTAGGGTAACAGTACCACAAGATGACCGTTTTTTTTATTTTAAGAATTTTGCGAAACCACCACCTTACTGTTCGAGCGATTCATCAGCTCCAGGAAGTTCGAGGTGTCCAAATTATTGAACGCACTGCTTGAAGAAGATTAAACCAGTACTGATGTCTTTTTGCCCCGTAAGAGGACAAGAATTGACCAGAACACACGGATTTGCACGGCTCGCATTTGCTCGTGAACACAGCCATCGGTTTTTGGACGATTGGTCTGCTGTACTTTTTACAGATGAGTGTAGGTTTGCTCTACGATCTCCAGGTGGGCGTGAACGAGTGAAATAGTGTGGAGAAGGCGAAATGAAAAATGAAGGTACGAAGCCTGTAATTTTTCCCAGAGCCAGCCTTTTCAACGTAGCTCAGTGATGGTGTGGGCGGGAATGGAGAGTCGCACAGAGTTGGTTATCGTTCGTGGAAGGTCTTTGACGGCCACTCGCTATAGGGATGAAATTTTGGAACATCATGCTAATGATAATAATGCCCGTCCACATGTCGCTCCTTTTAACAGCATAACATCAGGGTCTTAGCCTGGCAGCCCGTTCTCCAGATTTGAACCCCATCGCACATTTATGGGATAACCTCAAAAGACAAACAAGAGGACGTCCATCACTTCCTGATACACTCCACGATCTTGAAAGTTCTCTTGAAAGTTGCTGAGGCATCTTCGAGATGTAATTAAGGCAAGAGGAGGAAATACACGACATTGAAATATTAATTAAAAATCTAAAACAAATTTTATCTGACAGTCTTTTTTTTTCCTTAGCAAGTTAGGTTTTTTAAAACTTTTTTAGACAAAGACTCAATTATTGAACGTTAAAAACGTGAAAGTCTGATTAATATATAAAAATATATACAAATCAAGTTATATTACAAGTGGATGGAATTTTTTGCCTGCCAGTGTATGTTTTAGACATCTAATCA